GGGAGGGAGGGAAGCAGGGAGGGAAGCAGGGAGGGAAGCAGGGAGGGAGGGGGCAGGGGAAGCAGGGAAGGAGCGTGTGTGCGAACTGCACAGTGGGATCTGATAGAGCATTCAACATGTTTATTCCTTCACTTGTCTTAGCTTCTCGCTCTTTCTTCATCTTCACTGGTAGGCTGGGCAGCTGTCGGCAAACATGGCGATCACGCACAGTCGGCCGTCCCCGTGCACCTGAGAGAAGTTGGCGACTAGCGGGGACGAGGAGATCCTCACGATCCTCCGCGCGTTCATCGCCACCGCCTGATGCAGGCTGCCTCCCATCATCCGCACATACGACACCAGCTCCTCCTCTGTCCTCAGGCTTCCCACCGCCAGCCTTACCCCACCTGCAGCACGTTGGCCTGCACCAGCCGCCGCTCCGTCCTCCTCAAGCACCCGACGCCTTCCCCGCACTCCCACACCGACCCGCGTCCTCCCCACGCCTGCGCAGCCACCTGGGCTGCTCCTCGCACGGAGAGGAGGTCCGGGTTGATGGCGAAGAGAGCCTGCCAGTTGGTCCCGTAGAGCCGCGCGACGTCCTGCAGCGTCTCCCCATCCATGACCCAGTGCTCGCAGAAGAGGACGCGGACGACGAGCCTGCGCTCGTCTCTCGTCACTCCGTCGACCTTGAGCTCCAGCACCAGCGTCTCCTTCCCTTCCACCATCGGCACCCACGTCACGTTGACCTCGGAGGAGTTGCCAGGGCCCGGGAGCATGGGAGACTTGCCCAAGGGCTCGAAGGAGGGGGGCGAGGAGAGCAGGGAGGGCACGAGCTCGACGGAGGACCCCTGCGTCAGAGCGAAGCGAAGGAGGAGGGAGAGCTTCTCCCCTGCCTTGACCACAAGCACGTCCCCCCACTCGGGCGTGGGCGAGAGAAAGTGATTGACAGGCGGCCGATGCCCCACGGCGACGGTTGAGAGGGCTGGGCAGACGCACACAGCCTTCTCCTTGCCCGCGATGACTGCGCCCGCATCGTCGTAGAGCTGGAGGATCGCATCCAACCTGCATCCTTCTGCCCAGCTGTCGCTCACAGCGTCCCATACCACACAAACCACCCCGCTCCTGCTGGGATCCTGCTGGAGCTGGCTTGGGACGGAGAAGACAAGGTCGACCGTCACCCCCAAGGCGTTGACGCGATCGGCGAGGGAGGCGTCGGGCCAGGAGGAGACGGCGAGGCTGACGGCGCGGGAGAGGAGGAGAAAGTCTCCGGTGTAGGAGGGCCTGGACTCCAAGAGGCTGACGGCGACCGATCGGCCTGCCGCTATCTGAAGGACGGGGTCCGAGACAGCAGCGGGAGCGAGGGAGAGGGTCACCGGTTGGTCGGGCATGGAAAGATCCAGCGGGCCTGCTAGAAGCGCGTCCACACTGACAACCTGCTGCTGCATGGCGACCCGCGAGAGGAGGAGGCGATCGAAGCCTGAGGTGAGGGCGAACTGCATGGCGAAGGAGGCGATGAAGTCCGCAGCCAACATCTCGTTGGTCCACCACTTGCGCGCGAGGGAGGAGGCGCTAGAGGGGTCGAGGCTGAGCGAGGAGACGCTGACGGCGATGTGATTCGCCAAGACCAGCAGCTGCTTCAGCTGCGTCACGCTCATCTCCTGCACGCCCAGCTGTTTCATCGTGTACAAGAGCGACTCGAAGGACTGGACGCAAAGTGTAACGTCGCTGGGGTCGAGCTGGACTGGAGGCTGAGTCAGCAGCGTCAGGACTTGAAGGGTGTGTAGGATCGAGTCTTGCGAGGGCTGCTGGGCCTGATAGAGTTGCTGCATGACGGGGAAGAGGAGGGAAAAGAGCTCCTGGCGCAGCGTCAAGTTTTGACTGCCCAAGTTCGACTGCACAGCCAAAACTCCAGCCCACAACATGTCGGATCTCCCGGTCTCTTCAACTCTCGCCTTGAGTGCGAGCAAGTTCTCGTGGCCGATGGATCGCGATGGGACTTGAAAGGAGGGCAGGACGACTCGAGTTGTCGCCCCTGCCTCATCCACCACGTTGACGGTCACGTTGAGCATCCCGCTGGGAAGAATGATTTCCTGCTCGCTCCTCTTCACTCCCAGGGAGAAGTACCGCCCGCTCGTCACTTCCAGCTCGTACGAGTAGCTCAGCCCTGCCGCCAGTCCTCCCTCGAACCCTTCGCATCGCAGAGCAGCGTTGAACGGCAGACTCTCTGCCTGGAGGAGGACAAGCCGACAAGACCCGCCAGGAGGCTGGGGGACGACCTTGAGCTTGCACCAGCTAGCGGGATGAGCGTGAGGTTGGGATACGGCGATGACGCTGCTTCCTTCCACCTTGCCCAGCTCGACCCCAGCAACCGCCAGCGCTGCGCCCTGACGCTCGAGTGAGTTCGTGGAGGGGTAGGGGAAGGTGTCATTGAACGTCCAGGAAATCAGCTGGAGGGCAGCTGGGAACGAGCTGGAGGCGTTGGCGAGGAGGTCGATGCCGCCCTGTACCTCCTCGAAGCAATCGACCTCGCTGAACTTCTGGAAGATTCGGATGGTCGACAAAGTCACGGCGCTGCCTCCCACCACGAGGTCTGAAGTCGCTACGGCGAACTCCATGGACGACGAGACGATGACGCGGAAGGAGTAGACCTTGCCTGCCTCCAAAGTCGCTGCATCGACACTCATGCTAACGCCATCGGTCAGCATGAGCATGCTCCCGTCCGAGAGCCTGCAAGGATCTGCACCAGTCAAGCACTGCCAGCTGTACCCGAGAGCTCCGGCCGAGTTGGAGTGCAAGACAACCGCCTCCAAGACGACTTGTTCAGTCGGCGAGACCATCCGGTTGCCGCCCTGCAACTTCACCAACATGGGCTCCAGTCTCGTGGGAGCATGCGCGTCGATCTCGATGACCGCAGAGGGGTCAATCTTGGGTGTCAACCTCACTCTGACTCCGTTGGTCGCGCTAGTTCGCAGCCGGTAGGCTGTCTCTCCGCTGATCAGCAAGGGCGTCTGATCGCTCAGCTCGTACCACTCGTACTGCATGGTGGCGTTGGGCGCCGACATGCCTGACACATCCAACGTCAGCCACAGACAAGCACGCGGGCCGCAAGTCTTACCTAGCGATACCTCCAGGCACGCCGAATGTCTCGAGTCTGCGATGAGCTCCAGCGGTTGACTAGACGGCTGATACCCGATGACCTGCAGGTAGGCGGCGGGGATGGCAAATCGCTTGCGATGCAGGCGATGCTGGAACGAGAGGACTTGACCGCCGAGCAGAGTGACGCGACACATGACGACGAAGTCGTTGACGTCGAGAGGAAACGCCTCTGGTCCCACTCGGATCTTGAGAGAGGTCTGCTCCACCAGCACTCCTGCAACCTCCTGCAACCCAGTGGTGAAGAGCCTCCACTCGACCGCGAGCGGCCTTCTCATGCTCTCCAAGTCTATCGCCAGTTCCACGTCATCGCACGGCCCGAACATCGAGGGGCCGTAGAGGTGACCCAACTTGCTGGGTCTCGAGGTCACAAAGTCATCGATGACTGTGAACCCGAGGTGAACTGGCAGGTCGCGCGCGTGCTGGTTGGTCGGGGAGACGGCGGCGTCAAGCATACCAATGTAACCTTGTTTGAGAGTCGTTCCCGAACCCAACGCGACGACGAGCTCGACGTCGGAGCTGAAGTAGCAAGAAGCGTCGTAGCCGAAGGCTGTCACTGTATCGCCTGAGAACAAGCGGCTGCAGCCAAACATCGTCTTGTCCCCGACGTTGGCCGTTCCCATCACCACCGAGCCGATCCCTTGGAGGTCAATGGGCTGGTTCATGGTGACTAGCAGCATCCTCCCGTCGGGAGTCAGGCGGGCTCGACGGACTTGGAGGCTGTGGATGTAGGTGTACTCGAAGCTGAGCGAGTTCTCAACCTCCTGACGGAAAGACACTGAGACCTCAACCACCTCCCGTCCCTCCAGCTGCGGCGCCGAGGGAGGAGCGACCAGCACGAAGCTTGTCATCCCGCTGTCTGTGGTGATGTTGCCGATCACTGCCGGCTCCTTCCCTGCGAACACAACTTGCACATCGCTCACTTCCCGCGGTGCGACAAGTCCGAGCACGCTCACTAGCACCTTGTTGCCTCCCACAGCCGAGCCCTCTCCCCCGATCACCTGCACGACCCTCTGTCGAGGCGAGTCAACGCGCATCCTGGTCGCTGCCATGAAGTTGCCCCGTCGTACGACTAGGTCATACTGTCCGAACGTGATCGGAGGCAGGAGGAAGGTAACCTCAGAAGCAAACTCGTCGTCGTAACTCACACTGTGCAGCTTGCCGAAGTACGGGCCGACGGTCAGCTCGAAGTTGCTCAGCACGTCCGAGTTCGCTGAAGTGCCACCGAAGTTGGCAAGGACCAACTTGAGCATGTTCTCAGCTCCTTCATTGAGCGTGGCAGGAGTGACTGATTCAACCCTCGCCGTGTCCCACACCTTCTCCACCGCCGCGGTCAGCACAACACCAGGGAAGATGCTGCGCTGAGCTAGAGGGACGACAGAGAGGGGGAGACTGGCGGCACCAGAAGAGGCAAGAGGAAGGAGAGCAGCGACAGCTGTCTCCGTCTCGTCAGTTGAGATCAGCCTGTAGCTGTTGACGCCTCCTAAGCTGACGCCCAAACTCTGGAAGGAAGAAACCATCGGGAAGTTAAGCAGCAAGACTTCAACTTGGCTGCCTCCGTGAGCTGAGGCCGTGGAGGGAGTGAGGAGCCTCATCTGGACACATCAAGTCAGTCAAGTCAAAGCCATCGCGCTCACAGTTACCTCAGGGGCTGCGATGTAGGTGAAGCTCGCACTCGCCACAGTCCCCAGCAACAAGTTGCGGACTTGCAGGGTCACTCGACCAGGAAGTTTCGCTGCTGGCACTGTGATATTGACAACCAGGTCGAAGCCAGACTGGACGAAAGAACCTGCGACGATCGTCGCCTCCTGCCCTCCAACGTTCACCTTGATGTGATCGGAGTTGGCAGCGAAGAAGTTCAAGATCGTAAGCTCGACATTGCAACCTCCAGTCACGCTGCACTCCGGTTGACGCACGGCAACAGCAGGAGTGTAGAACTGGTGCTGGTAGCTGGCAAAGTGCTCGGTGTTGTAGCTCTGGAAGATCAGAACAGTCGTGCTCATCGGCATCCATACTGACGGAGTCACGAACTCGATCACGGTTCGTAGAGGAGCTTCTCCAGCCCCCCTCTGCTCGTCACTCCACGAGATGTTCTTGACGGTCCCACTGAACGGCCCGAAGGCGATCTGAACCTGATTCAAGAAGTCCTCGCCCGCCTCCGCTGCTGTCACCAGCTGCGGGAATCTCTGCAGAGCGATCTCGACCACGTCCCCTCCAGCTATCGACGAGCTCGTCGTGCTGATCGATTCGATGTGGGTCAGGTTAGTCTGCGTGTAGCTCCAGTCAATGGCGCCATCAAGCACCTGCAACAGGGTGAAACGAGCAGGGCCAGGGGAGGCCCGAGCAGGAATGGTGAAAGTCATGGAGCAGATTCGGTTGTATGAGACTCCGTTGCAGACGACGTTCTGCGCTGGGGTCGAGAGGTAATCACTGCTGTTGACCGCACCGCTCAAGTTGGTCAAGGCCAACACGAACTGAGAAGAGCTGGAGCTTCGGATGCGAACAAACACCTGAGACGTGCGATTGAGAGGCCCGATAGCGGGGTAGTAGGAGAGAAGCTTCGAGTCCATAGCGTCCACCTTGAGGGTGACATTGAGGGTGAGAGCCTGGCTCGATCGAGCTAGTGCCAGAGACAACTTGTCACCGCTAGCGGGACACGCCAGAGATTCGAAGGAGAGGACAGTTGAGGTCCAGTCAGAGACGACAACGCTCCCTGCCGTTGATACTCCCGCGGCACTGACCAACCTGACCGTCTCTTGTTGCAGGATGGGAGACCACCCTTGGTAGGAGACCGTCAGGTTGAAAGTTCCACCAATGACGCAACTCTGAGGAGAGAAAGAAGCGATGGCAGGGCTGACGGCCACAGGTCGATACAGGAAGTCAAACTGAACGTCGGAGATTTGGGGGCTTAGGAACTTCACAAGCGCCCGGCAGAGCCCCTCCGTCGCTCGTTCTGGGTTGACCACGACAACCGACAGGCTCTGCTCTACAGGGTCTGCCATCATCTCCACCACCCTTGCGGCCCTAGAGCCGAAAACAACCAAGACATCATGGAGCGGCAGAGTGACGTTGGAGATGCGGAGCTCGATCAGCGTTCCTCCCGTTAACGGGCCTTCACTGACGCTCACCCTGTTGAGGACAGGAGCTTGCTTTGCACGGAGATCAAAACATCTTGCGGCATCGCAGGACTGAGGTGCAAGAACCTGTGAAGACATGTCACCACAAACAGCGGGCGACATGCGAAAACTCACCGGAGCCAACAAGACATTCTGAGCGCAGAACCAGGTGTAGTCGCAAGTTTGCTGCAGAGAGTAGAGGAAAGTAACATACGGTTGGTTGGTGTCGGTGCTTGAGATTCGGATGGGAAGCGGTCCCATCGTCATCATGGGAGGGACGTAGAAGGCAACTGTAGTGACGGAGGAGGCGTGGATAACCTCCTGCACTTGGGCGTTGGCGCCTCCAGCACCCACATAGATCGACTTCATGTCGTTGACTTGGAAGCCTCCGACCTGCGCTATCACGAGCGAGCCGTCCAGGGGCCCGCTCATCCGGTTGAGGTCCAGGAGGGTCGGAGTGCTGAGGTCGTAGAAGGAGACGTCGACCTCGACGTCACGACTGGCCGCGCGGATGGTGATCTTGGAGCTCGACGACGTGGCGGAGTAAACCTGCATCACCACTCGAACAACGGCACTCACGTTGTAGATCTGAGTCCTGACTAACTCGAAGGACTCGATGCTGGCCCTGACATCAGACTTGACGTAGAGGGCAGGAGAGACCGGGCCAGAGATATCCTTGTAGTTCTGATCGAAGGACATGCTGGGGAAGAGAGGGTAGTCCTGAATGATCACCTCCAACTTCGATGGCAGACCCAGAGGCAGCGAGCGAGGCCAGACGTTGAGGACCTGAGGAACGTTCCCTTTGCCTAAGGCAACCTTGAAGCCGACGGAGAAGTCACGATTGAGAGTTGACAGCACGACTCCGTTGATCTCACTGAGACTGTCGAGTTGAGTTCCGATGGGTTTGATCGCAAGCACCAGCCAAGAGTGATCAGCAGACACAATGTCAAACTCTTGATCCTGCAACCAACGAGATTCAATGGCGACCTGAAGCTCAAGTTTGCTCTTCACCGCCGGCATGCCAGTCAATGAGAGCTGGAACTCAACCCTGCCATCTGCGAAGAAAACTTGCTGACCCGACGCGTGCAGACGAGGGTCGTTGTACTGATAACTGAAAGAGATCGAGGAGCCAGACACAATGTCGGTGATCTCCACCATCGCTTGACAGGCCTGCTCGCAACTGGTGGGAGGAACGACGAAGGAGAACTCGGTCTCGAACTGACTGGAGGACCTCAAGTTGAACACAGCCGCTGGTTTGCCTCCAACAGAAACGAAAACTTGCGACATCGACGTCAGGGGGAAGTTCTTGGCCAGGACCCTGACGGGGTTTCCGCCGAGGGCAGGGCCAGAGGAAGGCTGGGCGAGGACAAGCTGCGCCCCCCCGACCACTGCGAGGCGGAACGAGGAGACCTGCTGGTTGATGGCGCCCTTGAACAGGTAAACGCTCCCAGCCCATGAGCCCTTGGGCAGAGGCTGCTGCAAGGAGCAGACCAGCAGGGCCGAGTCAACGTGAGACACGATAAGATCCAGAGGAGTGCAGGAGACGCCGCTGACGTCGACGTCAAAGTCCGACAGTGTCGCGTTAAGAGGAACTTGTTGGAGCTCGAGATTGAGCGTCTTCTGCTCGTCAGCCTGCACTTGCGGGGGATCAACTTTTACCAGCTGGAACGACTTGGTGACCATGATGTTCACATAACCCGCAGCAAGGAGGCTGGGGCTAGCGGAGCCTTGGCAGATGCCATAGAAGCTCACAGCTTGCTGGCCAGTCGGCATGGGAGGAACAAGAACAGTTAGAGTGATGGAGTTGGCCGTCTTGTCAAGAGTCCGTTGGACGTCACTGACCTCCGCAACTCTCTGCCCAACAAATGCTGTGAAGTCACAACCAGAGAAGCTGGGGTCGAGGAGGGCAAACGTAGCCTGCAGGTACCAGTTCCCGGCTGATGGCCCGGTGCTGGGGTTGAGCTCGGCTTCACTGACAGTGTACGAGTCCATGACTGTGAGCATGGAGCTGAACTCTCGGCCTGTGCTCGTGACCGTGATAGCGGCAGGTCCCTTCATGAGGACAGGGGCGACTAAGCGAATCAGAGTCTCTGCCTTGGACACCATCACTGACTGGAACTGCACAAGCGAGTTGTCGAGAGAAACAGCCAAGACCGTAGAGGGGTCCACACCCTCCAGCAGGACGGAGACGATATCTCCTCCAAGGTTAGAGATGTTCTGAGGGAAGACAGCAAGCAGCCTCGGAACCGGGGAGTAGAACTCTACATCCGCTTGCACTTGACAGCGCTGGGGGAATCCGTTGATGCTGATCTGAAGGGACACATTAGCGGCGACTTGAGACCAATATTTGGGTGAATCAAATTGCACGATGGAACGAGAGTCTATCTGCTCGAACTTGGCAACGGGGATGGAGACAGGACCCAGTCGGACGACGAAGTCTAGACTGCTGCTGATCGACTGAGTCGTGTGGAGCTCTACGGTAACTTTAGTGCCTCCGTCCATGGAGATGGAGGATGGGGAGACCCGGGTGATGGCAGCGCACTGAGGATCGAAGATCTCAATGGAGAAGCTGAGAGTCTGGTTGATCATGATCTGCAGCTCAACAGTTCCTGACCGAGACGCGATGGAAACGTCAGGGAGGACGAGTTGCATTGCCATGGAATTGGCTCCAGCTATCAAAGATCCAGGGGAGATGGGCACTTGGAAGGTCTGGCTGTTAACCAGGACCTGGGCAACGATTCCAGTAGCAGATTGGGAGCCGATCACGTTGTCAATCTCTACCTGAAGCTTGCCACCTGTGCTCGCGATCACGCTGGGGGTGACCTGACGAATCATTGGGGAGTGAACTGGATCATCGATGTTGATGGGCAGCACCAGATCTATCAGCTGATTGAGGGAACTGCGAAGGACGAGGACCGCCTGTCTCGCAGCCCCCGTGTCGAACACACTCGTGACAATCGTCGTTGCCGTGCTGTCCTGAGTCAAAGCTGACACGCCGACAGCTTGTCCATCGACCAAGACCTCAAGGCGGTCCAGCGACATGGCTGGTGCGTTGCTGACCTTGAGCGAGAGGGCAACCATCTCATCCTTGAACAGCTGGGAGGGGCTCGTGACCTGCACGACGGGCTTCACGCTGGCAGGGAAGTGAGTGAGGAAGCTGGTGGTGAGACTGCCAGCGATCCAGAGGCTGAGGTTCTTGTAGCCAGACAAGCCCAAGGCAGAGGGGCTGCGAACGAGGAAGTCGCAGTGTGAGGGTGTCCAGGAGACTCGAAGGATTGGAAGTCGCTTGCTCGACTCGAAACGGATCTCAACAACCTCGTTGGAGAGAATCTGCCGGAGATTCTCTACCCTGACCACCATCTCGCCCTCGACAGGGGGTGTAACCTTGACCTGCGTCATGCGAACGGCTCCCTGAGCAGCCTTGAGCTGGTTTGGCACGTAGAAGAAACATGAGTCAGAGTCCGAACGGAGCAGAGCGACTCCTCCCTTGGCGGAGGTCGGGTACCTCAAGCTCACTGCTGTGAAACCATCCGTTTGGTTGACACGATCCACCACAGCCTGATGCCCGCAGTCCGAGCTCGCTAACCCTCCGCAAGTGGCATCGTTGAAGCAGGAGAGGGCGCAGGTTGTACAGACATCGTCTGCTGCACACCATCCCTGGTTGAGTCCTCCTACCGCGTACGACGCGCATTTGCCGAACATGCCGCTGAAGTTGGGAGTGTCAGAGCACGAGTCAAGCGAAATGCCGAAAGTGACTTGCAGGTTCGAAGTCGATGAAAGGCTCTTGGGGATGGGGTTAGAGCACTTCGAGCACGAGGGGAAACTGAGTTGGAGGTAGAAGTTGGAGCCAGGAACAGCAACCGCAGGCGCGAGAGTGACGTCACATTTCTTTCCTGGCAGCATCACAAAGGCCTCGTCGTTCCTGAGAGTGACCCCCCCAGCGAGCGCCATCGAGACTCCGTAGACTCCGTGGGCAACGACGTCAGGCATCGATGCGAAGATCGAGATGACGTCCAGTCGGAAACGAATTGCATGCACCCCTACCATCACCAGCTGAGCTTCCTTGCCACTGAACACGAAATTCTGAGAGCGGTTGTTCGAAATGTTCATCTGAACGATCGCCACCATCGGAATGGTTTTGTATGTTGTGCTCAGTTCGAAGAAGAGAACATCCTGACTGTCTTGATACAAAACAGCAGGGCCACCGGAGGATGGGAGGGAATGGTTGAGGGTTTCAGCTTCAGGAGAGAAAGGAAGAAAGGAAGAAATCTTCAAGGGGTCCGTGAGAACATCGATGTACCCGCTTGCAACCACAGAGCCACCCTGCCCGATGACATTGAGGGCCTTTGACTGCGAGGTCACTGCTGACATGGCAGGTACTCGACAGTTGATCGACGTCCTTGCCGTGATCGACTGATTGAGAGTACAATCGAGAAGCTCGTTGTCCAAGGAAACCTGCAGGGCAGCTCGACTGTTACTTGCCAGCACGAGGGTCACGTTTGTTGACTCGTGCACGTAGACCATTGTGGGTCGGACACTCAGCAAGCTGTATCCCGTGCTGGGAGCGACGGAGAGCGCGCAGGAGAGGTTCAAGGATGGCAAGTTTACTTGAATCTGCAGGACAGACGAGGAGCAGACGACGGGGAGTTTGAACTGCATGAAGTGCACTCTACCCTGAGGGGTGTCAGCAGTCTCTGGAGACAACAAGAAGGGACTGAACGACGATGAGCTGCCATCGATGATCGTAACTTGAATGTTTGTGAGTCCTTGCAGACCTGAGACTCCGAGAGTCACGTTATCGCCACATTCAGCGCCCTGCCACTTCTGCGAAGTTTGGTTGTACGTGATGCCATTTCCAAGTACAGATCGGATCTGAGGAGGCTCGCAAGTATCCCTGGGCATCAAGAACTTCACCTTGCTCTGACCGTTGTGAAACAATTCAGCAATTCCCTGCCCTCCCAGTTGCGTCTGCCTGTTAGGCAGTTGGAGGCTGAGGATAGAAATAATCGGTTTTCCGTTCACAGCGTTTGAGCTCTGACGTGTAACGGAATTGATCGTTGCGTCTGCGCCATCCAAGGAGAGTCGAAACTTGCTGACGTCACTGTCAAGCTCAAAGGCAAAGTGTCGGAGGATGATTTTCATGGCACTGCCACTCGAGCATGGAATCGACGTAGGTACTGTGTCCACCACCACGGGCGTCAAGTGGTCGGAGATATTGACGATGCTGGTGGGTTGGCTGTAGCCGTTGTCAGCCATCGCGACAACACGGAAGTAGTACATGACTCCACTTGTAAGCCCAAGCTTGGAGTATCGGAAGGTGGGAGTCGTCTTATCAATCATTGGCGTGTACTCGACGATCGGAGCTTGGAAGTCAGAAGTCAAGGAGGTTTGAACCTCAAAGCTCAGCTGATTGTTTGCGATGCTGCTGGAGTCGATCGCCCATGACAAGTTGACAGCGAGGCCACTGGACGAGCCCGACCACAAGAGCGCCTGGAGGTTGTGAGGAGCAACAGCGTTCCCCATGAACTGCGAAAGCAGAGGGTCTGATGCTGGGCCGATGCCAGCCAGGTTCTTGGCGACGACTCGGAACTCGTACAGGCTGTTGGGCTGCAACGAGCTGGTCGACAACCTATAGCTTTCTCGCAGGGGCACCACGTCATAGTCCGTGTCGTTGACCCTAACGATGTAGGAGGCGAGAGGGTAAGAATTGTCGCCCGTGCCCGTATTCACCGGCCACTTCCATGAGAACACATAGTATCCCTGCTGTAGCACGAAACTGAAGTCAAGCGGGCTTGACGGCAAATCTGCTGCGCGGCAGGTTCTATACCCAGAGAAGGCACCAGCACCAACAAGGTTGTAAGCTTTCACACGGAAGAAGTACACTCGTCCTGCTTGAAAAGCCAACGAGATGTTCTCGCTCATGATCTTGAACTCCCGAGAAGCCAATGGCATGTCAAAGTCGACGATCGCCTCGGCAAAGGGATCAAAATTCCTTTGTGCAGAAACTTGGATGGCGTACTGGGTGAGCTGAAACGGCACATTGGCGCCGATTCCTGCATCGACCGGGCGCGTCCAGTGGAGGGAGATAGCGAGAGGTCCTGACACAACAGCGCTCGTGATGCGAGGAGCCGAAGGGATTCCGACGCAGATCCGAGAGGTGGTGGTAGACCATGCTCCCCTACCGGCGGCGCTAACGGCAGCAGCTCGGATGTAGTAGATGGTGCCTGGTACAAGTCCAGAGCCCTCGGACGAGAGGTAAGGAGACGAGAACTCCTTGAGACCAGGGCCTGCGAAGTCAGGAGTTGGGCAGAACTGAAGGTCATACGACAAAATCTCAAGCGATGTATCCCCGTAGCCTGTGTCTAAGGGAAGGAGCAGGACGACCAGGATGGCGTTGGGGTTGACGTTGCTCGTCCTGTTGATGAAAGGAGCGGACGGGGGAGCCGCAGCCTTCCTGTTGAGAGTGTTGGAGTGCAGACTTGACCCGACGACGTTCTCAGCGAACGCACGGAAGGAATAGTTGACAGCCTTCTTCAGCCCGGGGACCAGCACCCAGCTCTGAGAGGGATACTGCTTGACGTAATCATAACCGTCAAAAATCACCAGGGGCGCGAAGTTGTCATTGATGGATGCCTGGACCAAGAACCACGAGAGCGACACGTTGGGGCAGGTCGTGGCGCTGCCGACCCCGATGTCACTAGGTGCCGTCCAGGAGACGTTGACAGACAGCGAGCCAGACACGAGAGCTAAATCAAGCTGTGGAGGCTCGGGAAGGTCGATGGCGCAGAACGTGACATAGGTCACGTCCGAGTAACCAGCCTTGTTCATACAGCGAGCGTAGAGGTAATAGAACTTTCCTTTCACCAGCTCTTTCTGATCGAAGGTAGTGTTCATCGGATCTTGGTAATTGAAAGTAAAGTTTTGCACAAAGCTTGCATTTGAGAAGCTTCCATCAGGGTAGAATTGTATCGGAATAGTAGACAGGAAGAACTGAATGTCGACATCAGTGAAACCTGCTGGAGTCTCTGTCAAACCGAAGCCAATATCCGTCGGAAACTCCCAAGAGACGCAGACTGACATCGGACCACGCAGGTTGGTTGCCTCAAACTTCACAACAGGCCCTGGTTTCTTGAGCATGTATATGTCCGCCTTGGACTCGATGCTCAGCCCCAGGAGGTTTCCAGCTCGGATGTAGACGCAGTATTGGTCGCCAGTCACGAAGTTCCTGTCTGTCACAGTGCGGCTGAAGGTGTTGTAGTCGACGACCGCCTGGTAGGCAGGGACTGAGGCACTACTCACAGAGTTGCAGTTGGAGTGATAGAGCACGACATAGTAGTTGTCAATTATCCTCTTCTTCGGGTCCGCTTGTCTATCCGCCGGCCTGATCTCACCGTCTGTGACCGGAGCAGTCCAGGAGATCTGAAGGGTCTTGGCATTGACGTTGATCACAGTCACGCTGGCGGGATTTGACGGCAGCTCGATGCCTCGAACGTCAACAGGCTGAGACGTTTGACCGAGTCCGTAGTAGTTGTAAGATTGGATGGAGACGATGCTGGAGTCCCCAAATGTGTCATATAAGGGACCTGCACTCGACCACTGCAAGATGATGTCAGTGCTCATGTTACACCTGCAAACAGAGTCAAATGTAGACAGCACAGCAACAGGTTGCTTCACTTACACATAAGATTCCTCGATTTGATACGTTGGCCAGATGTACTGCGAGAGCTCAAAGACGGGGATGAACGACGCGGTGCCATTGAACAACAAGTCGAAGTACGATGAGCCTGAATTGACACAGAACGACCCAGCTTTGGCGCAGCAGGATTCCGCAGATGTGTAGTAGGGATCGTTGTGCTGACAACCAATCAAGATCTGAGACGGTTGCTCGGGAGTTGCCTCGTAGTGCATCATAGTGGCCACAGCTGCAAACATGCTGTTGTCAGCTTGGAAGACCGCCCATCGTTGAGGATTTGCCGTGTACAGGTATCTGAAGACCACAAAACCTTCGAACAAGATAACGCCGTTGGTTGCTATGGTTTTCTCCCACTTGATCAGCATAGAATGAAAGGAACCGCTGCAAGCAACAAGACCAAATTGATTGACCGCGTTGTTCAGCCTCATGGAGAACAGTTGAACTTGAACGCTTCCTTCAAGTTCCAACTTCTGCACCTCTACTGCAGTTTCTTTCGACAGCTCCAGCACGGAAATATTTTGGCCCGAGCACTTGACGATCATGTCTCTAGTTCCAACCTTCATGTGATGCAGGCAAGCTCCACCATTGATCTCAGGAATGGAGACGTTTGCTATGAACGAGCAGTTGTGCCATTTGTAGACATTCTCCGAGGAATCTGCAGGTGAAGTGTGAGAGACGAACATCCAGAGCAGCCCCATGTCATCTCTGAAGAGCTCAACAGCCTGACTGCCTGTAGATGAAATGGTTTGGAATGGTTCGAAAGATTGACTTTCCCTGCTCCACCTGTACACCTCGACGTTGCCGTTGGTCTGGGGGAAGGTGACCATGGTGGTGTTGCATTCGAAGAAGTCTATCACATCCTTAGCCATGCTCAGCATCAAGGACTGATGGAAGTAGAAGTAGCCATCAGGTCGCAGAGCATACACCATCACTTCAGTCCCCGCCGCCATGGGCAAGGTGGGGTTCCCCACGCAAGTCTCGTTGGAGAACGTGCAGGGTTGTGCCATGCTGACATTGCACGACTGGGTGGCCTTCCAAGTTCCGTTGACGGGCTTGCCGGTGCTGTCATCTACACAAACATACCCCGAAGGCTTCATGTCGTTGACGGTGAAGAGGAGGACCTTGTCTTGCTCCTCGATCAGCTTAACAACTTTGATTCGTCTCGTTCCGAAGGTGGACAGAACTTGATGGACTGACAGGTTGCCAGCAAACGTGACGTCACTAGGAAAGAGCTCCTCGTTGGCCTTGTAGTTGTTGCAATATTCGTCCTTGTCTCCGCGACAGTCTCCACCGAAGAAGCTAGAAGCTGAACTCTTCTGGTAGATGGTAGTTGCTCCGGGGTTGGAGGACTTTTGTGAGTTGTAACTTGCAACAATGATGTAATGCCGACCAGCGAATTCGAAGTGTTCGACATCCGTAGCATTCCAGGACCTGAGGGACTGAAATCCGTCGGAGTCCGGTCTCATCTCATTGGAGGGAGTAGCCAAGTTCTGCTCTTGTTCTGCGTCACTCACGCCGCCGGTGAAGGGGTAGGAGCGGAGATGCTTCTCTGTCACCTTGAAGATGTAGTCGTGAGTGAGGGTGTCGTTGACCTGCCACGAAACTTTGGCCTTCATCGCCTCCTTGTACTCTACTGCCGGTTGCGTCACTGCCGGGAGGTAGTTGGACTGCATTTGCAAGGCGGCGGACCAATCAGACCAGCTGCTCCATCCTACGACGCTGCGCGTTCTGACCAGGAACCTGTAGGCCTTTCTGAACACGACGGAGGTCGCATTGAAGACGTAGTTGTCGGTCGAGGGGACACGGGCCAAGGTACTGTCCGCGATGGTAACGGAGAAGTTGTAGGTCGTGTCATAGCTGACTTCGGTCATCTCTTGACTGCAGTCCATCCAGGGCTGACTGCTACAGCAGGTCACAAACTTGCTTTCAGTCAGCTGGATGACCTCAGCTTCTAGTATGGAGTAGCTCCTGTTGCTGGCGTTGACCGCTGGGTTGTTGATCGTGACCTCAAATCTCAGCCACCTCATCGCTACGCTCTTGATCACCGGAGCATCAGGAACGCCCGTGATCGCAAAAGGATCGACGGTCTCCAGCCAGACACCGGGGGAGATCCGATTGAAAGCTCGCACTCGGAACAAGTAACTCTTGCCCTCTAAGAACTCCGTGTAGAGAGGCCAAACGATGGTGCTCCCCGTGGTCTCGGTCAAAGGCAACCAGCTGATTGAGTCTGCGAGCTTGTACTGGAGCTCGTAGCGTACGAACGCGGCATATGGGTTCGAGCTGTCACCGTGTACCCCTACTCCCATATCGTCGGGGATTGTAAGGTTGAAGACAAGAGTCGTTCCCACAATTCGAGTCGTCATTGCAGGCGCTGATGGGGCTCCGACGATGACCGAAGTCTGTTCGCTGCTATACGGGCCAAATCCGTAGGCGTTCTTGATTCTTATTCTGAGACCGATTCCTTTCCCGTTGAGAGGTCCGGACTTGTTGGCAGGAGTGTAATCGATACCCATGAAGTTACAACACTCGGTGTACCCTGCACAGCACTGATAAGACTCAGTCTCCGAGAACAAAGTCGATGCGCCTGAGAAGAATCTAAACAAAAGCTCATAGCCCAGGTAGAAGTAGTTCTGATTCGAGGTGTAATCTGCCATCGGATTCTTCCATGAGATCGCCATGGTCAAGTTTCCAGTTGCTGTCAAGGCGAGGTCGGAAGGCGGGGCGGGGCTCATCATATTCAGATCGCTCTGACAGTCGAGCTGACTGGTCAAGCTCTGCGTCCAAGCAATCAGACTTGAGCTATCGAGTGAGCCGGTCGGGCAATTAGAGGTTTGATTGAAGTTGTAGAACTCGATCAGACCGACTGCAGACTCTAGGTAGCAGGAGGGGTCAGAGCATGAACGGTTCTTCGCTACCAGAGTGACTGTCGCGTCATCACTCACTGTGCCGTTCACAGTACCGTTGGGATCGATTCTGCGAATGTCGGAGAGGATGAACCAGACGGAAGCACCCGGATAGAAGTACCTGTTGAAAGAAACAGAGATGCTCGTGTTCGTGTTGCTGAGGTTGACGTCTACATTGAATGTGCTCACTGTCTTGGAAGGAAGACCTGCCTCAATCGAAATGAACTCAAAGTTGCCTCCTTCAGAGACGTTCAAGGTCTCTGGAATCTTCATGCTGGTCAAGTCAAAGTTCTGCAGGAGCCCTAGTCCGAACTCCAGCACGATCTCGCTTTCCGGGTAATACTCAGTGGAGAAGGTGAAGGAGACGTTGAGGTACATGCTTTGATTGAAGCCGGGGAACGGCACATGGCGAGAGGGGATCATCCTGAGCTGCAGGTCGCGGAGAGAGCCAGGCTGCAGCACTCGGCTCTGGGAGAGGTACTCGTCCACCACGAACCCTCGAGACGAGATCGTCTGGATTCGAAGGTCCAACAAGTCGCCCTGCCTCCTGATCGGAGTTTGGATCCCAGATATCTGAAACTGCATGACGGCGGGGAGCTCGCTGATGGGGCCAGGGAAGTGCAAGTTGATCGCAGAGCGGACCTTGGCCCTGCACAGCTCGTACTGGGGGGCGAAGTCCTGAGTGAGAGAGGAGCAGAAGAGTTCTTCATTGGTAAAGTTGTGGGAAATGTTGACGTAGTGCTCAATCTGGTGACCCATCAGAACCTGAGCTTCCTCCAAGTTGAAGCCATCGTCGAAAACGATGCTTAGGTTTGTGAACGTGTGACCAGCTATCGGTTCGAAGGTCACATTCACGATCATCTTGGAGCCAGCATAATACTCCGCAGTTGCTACGAACACTCCCTTTGACGCTCCACTGGGTTGGATCTTAACAACCTCTCGTTGAGAGGGAACTATGGAGCTACTTGACAGCGGATACGGAGCAATGACTGCGTTGATCAAAGCTTGACTGGTGAACTTCACCGTGTCTGAGTCGTTCGCCGTGCGCAAGATGAAAGTTGCACTTCCCGCAGACAGTCGGTTCTTGACTCCCGTGATAGTCAGGTTGTAAGAGACCGAGGATGGAAGGCTGGTCGTCGGGCGGAAGTAGAACGCTCTGCCGTACTGGCAGCAGCCATGAGCCGTAGAGCCTTGATTGCACGTGCAAGGCATGCCGTTGAGTGCTACACTGACCATGGTCGAGTCGATCTCGAAAAACGCGGGAAAGTCAAGCACGAAGAAAGTTCCTCCCACGATTCCGTTGGAGTTGTTTACAAGTAACGTGACTACCGAGTCACTCCCAGCGTAGGAAGGGCTTAGAGTGACTGCAGAAAGCAGCTCTTGCGCATGCAGGTACAAGTTGGGAACTGGCATACCCGAGCTCAACACCAACACACTACCCTTCTGCTCCAGTCTGAGCGTAAATCCACCCAATCTTCCATCGAACTTCGGGTTGATGACACTTGCAATTGAGAAGTTAGCAACAATGTCGGAACTTGATACGCAGGAAGGAATGTCTGCAATGATGTATGCGATGGGGCAGCTGTCACACTGCAAGCCGGTACAATTCTTCCCGACGTAGTTGTAAGCCTCCCAAACTGACTCGCAGCCTGGTGCAAAGGTCAGAGTACCGATGCTCTTTCCGCAGTTGATGGAGAATCCTGCAGGAAACATGACCCGCAAGCTGGTGCCGTAATTGAGGGCGATGGGAGAATGGAAGTAGAAGTTGATGTTGGAGAACGAGGAAGTCAGCGTGTTGGTCAGGTCGATGTTGACGTTGCGGAACTGAGATGACCGCACAGTGAGAGTCTGCGACGAGAAAGCCTGCAACTCGTAAGGGCTTCCCTCCTGCAACAAAGTTGATACCCGGACACTACCAGCATCCCCGACGAAGTCTGGGTTCCTGACGTTCTCCAGCACAACTTGGAAGGAGGTGCCTTGAAGTTCCTCGGGCGGGAAAGTGAAAGTGACACTTCGGTTGTTGACGCTGAAATTCAAGGAGCTGTTCCCAGCCATCACTGTTACGGCCGCCAGGTCAAATCGAGCAGGAAACTCAATCTTGCATGCCGAACCCTGCGCGAGGGGAGCGACGGTGGCGAACTGGATGGAGAAGTTACTGAGTGCCAAGATTGCACTGTCACTCTGCACAAGACTGCCGGACACAAATGCTTCAGGAGTCACGGTCACACCAGCCGCAGTCCCTGAGTCAACCACACTGCCGTCCGCTACTGTCGATCTCAAGTAGAAGGAACCTGTCGACCCAGAGAAGGAGGGGAGACGGACGTTTGAGACCTTGAAGGAGACAAGCTCCCCCAGGGGAAGGCTGCCGTCCAGCTGCACGCGAACGATCTGACTGTCACTGAATATGTCTGGATACTTGGAACTGAGCAAACTGTTGGTAGAGCTCATGCAAGGAGAAGTGCTGGCGTAGTTAGGTGAGCTGCACTGCACAATAGAAAAGAAGAAAGGAACAGCATCAAGATTTCCGCAGGAGGAACTTCCACACTTCGAAACTGAGCTTGTTGCCTTGTCAGCCTTGATCGCCCTGGGAAGAAAGATCTCCAGATAACCTGCATTGCCGTTGAGCGGTGGGATCTGATTCTGAAGCTTGAAAGTGAGGATGAGATCGCAGAGACTTCCAGCACTTGACCGACTTGAAGCGACCGATAGCGTCATGCTTCCGGTAGAAATCAAGAAAGAAGGAACCAGGATGCCTCTCTCCACTACAACATTGCACGTGCGGGCAGACTTGAGACATGCTGTCTGCTGGGAGTAGTCGATTGTACGGACTGCAAAGGTTCCCGTGGGTCCAGCGCTCTGCCGCATCTTGATAAAGCCTGTGCTGTTCAAAGTGATGTCGAGGGTTTGTTGGGAGTTGACGTCGAAGGGCAGTTTGAACTCAACATCTTGACCGGTCGATCGGATCATGTCTTCTTCAAGATTCCTGAAATCTTTCAAACCTTGTACAAACTCCCACGGGACGAGGTCATATGGCCCTGCAGCAAAGAGCCTTGCTATCGATTGGTCCATCTGTTTGGTCTTGCTCAAGTTTGCAAGGGGAGGAGGAGTGGCTAACGCCGGAGTTGAAACTTCAACCATGTGGTTGTGTGATGCTATGCTGTTGCCATGTCGGTGGATCAAGACGTGGTCGTGGGATCCTGTTGTGCTGAAGCAGTGGCAGTCAAAGCTGCCTCGCTCGCACGTGCATGATCGATCGACGGTCAATGATCTCGCCACGAGGTACTGGCCGATGGTGTACTGGAAGCCAGCCGATGGAGCCGCAGCGATCTCTGATATGGTGGCGTACCTGTCTGCTTGCGAGTAGCTCAAGATCTGTGCAGTCTGCTGGAAGTTGCTTCCTTGGAAGACAACCATGAAGCCAACGCAGCCTGAGTCTTGAACACAATCATTTCCAGGCTGGAGGTGGAAGCCGTACGTCGTCGCATCCTGTACTGTCCCGCTGATGAGCTCGCCGACACGCACAATGTGTGCGTGAGGTAGGTCGGATCCTGCATGGGACCCGTGTGAGAAGACGTGAGCGTGATACATCGGGTCAAAGTCAAGGAAGCCGGTTGTCTGTATTGAGGCGGCATCGTAATAGTTGAACCGAACTGGTCGATTTGACAAGGAACCAGTGAAGCAAGGATCAGTGGTAAAACAGCAGCCTTCGTTCTCGCAGGTCAAGCTTTGATCGATGGAAACATCGATGAAGATAGCATCTTTGCTTGTCATCGGAGGGACAGTGCACTTCAACGTCTGCTTCGTGCTGTCGTACGTCGCAGTCACGATCTTGGTGTCGAAGATACATCTGTAGCTCCTATCCAGTCCACTGAGCGCATATTCACTCTTCATAGACAGTTCGACAACGGTCCCTCCTGCTGAACTGGCGAAGTTTGGTGAGACCTTGCGGATGAATGGAGCAGTGCTGCAATCAATCCCTGTCCACGGATAGCGGCAATTGCACACAGACGTTATGCAGTCACCTTTCTTAGATCCTCCGCAATTGTTCGGGCAAGCACCAGGAACAGGTTTGTAGAGGGTGATATTGACGTTGTCAGAAGAGGACAAGGATAGGTTCTTAGATGTCGTGAAGGTAACTTCAATCGGCAAAGAAGTCCTGTCCGAAGATTGGACAATGCTGCAGTAGGAGCTTTTAGGGCAATCGACAACCACCAGCATTTCTGTATCCGTGATGGAGTTGACATGAAGTGGCTCGCCTGCCAAGACGGGAGTCACTTGACCTGATTGGGAGACGAAACCGGCTCCATACACAGTCACGGTCTGCAGATGATCAGCAAAGACTGAGAAGGGCGAGATTCCTTGAACGCGCAAGAGCTCCACATTGGATGGAGTCACAGATGCCAATATCTGGCAGTTGTTAAGGCAGTAGGAAGTCCCATCCCTCTTGATCTGCGTGACGGGGACGACGTCGCTCAAGAAAGTGAAGGATGACGGGAATGACAATCTGACATATCCGTTGACGAGCTTGCGAACCTGGAAACTGAACTTCTGATCCTCATCCATCCCAGCCACGGGGCTGGAAGAGGATGCCGAGGTTGTCTGAATGACAGGAGGGAGAATCGAATTAGTGAGCACCTGAAGATCTTGATCGATAACGATGTCTCCTGCTGAGAGAGTGCGCAACCTTGGCATCGAGTACGATCCTTGCTGCTGAGGGTTCTGGATGTCCGTCAAGAACAACCGGACTTGAGTGGTCGCAGCTACGGACAAATTGAGATCCACGAGGGAAAGGAAGATAGAAGAAATGTTGATTCTTGTGATGTTGATGTTTCCGTTGAGATACCTCGTGGTAAGCGAGTCCGGGAACACTCCGGAAGGGATACGAACGTTGCTGAGGCCAAAGCTTGACGGCACAGTGATCTCGATCTTACCGTCCAGAGGGATGGGATTGTAGTTGTCAAAGCGAACATACAAGGCTGTGACTAGGCCTGAGGCGAGACTTAATGGCACGACTTGAGTCGACTGCAAGAAGTTAGGCTGGAGGAATCGAGTCTCAGCATAGGAAGTCAACCGATCGACGTTCACGCCATTTGAATCTCTTGTGTACACGTCAAAGAGACCCGTGTTGCCTGAGATCTGCTGAGTTCGAACGGCAGAAACGTTGAAAGCAATGCGAACGCCGTCGTACCCAGGGACGTACAAGCGATCGGTGGTGGCGGCAAGATCTTGCAGACCCGGCAAGAACGACAAGCTTGAGATGGAGTATAGAGTGGGCTGCATGCTATTTAGAAGCACTATCTGTCGGCCCGAGTCAGCCAAGGAAACAGCTACATCTTGCTTCAAGCCGATGGGGCAGTTCACTCCATTCTGGCACGGGTCTCCACAGATCTCATTTGCCAGCAGAGAAGAACAATATCTCACACCATTGAGCGCGAGGAATCCCGGAGCAAGCCTGACCACGACACTTCCACCAGCTGGGAACGGATTGCGGGTTGTCATGTCAACAGAGAGCAACACTTGATCTCCAGTAAGGGAGTATGTGAAGGAAACTGTGCCCGACTTCATCCCTCCTTCAGTTATTTGATAGTCCTTGTTCGCACGGAAGTTGGATAGGATGGTAGAGTAGCAGGACTGCAGTGATGCGATGCTGCAAGCGCTGTTGGTTGTCATCAGTAAGAAGGCTCCCGTCAGCTGCCGTCCTGCCTTTGGATTCAGAACATTGTAAAGGGTGAAGGAGAGCTGTTGACCCAAGGAAATGTTTCCAAAGCTCCTCAACTCAAGGCCCACGTAGAGGCTCACGTCGTTGATCGCCTTCTTGTCAAAGACTGAACACGTCGATGTCAAACCGCTGTTGACGGTAAACGAGCAGCTGATCTGCGGTATGACAGCGAAGCCCGGTGGAAGAATGACCATGATCCTGTCCGTGAATGTGAAGGAACGCAACAAAGTCAAAGTAAAGGTGAGATTGGACAAAGTAGCCGATTCCGTGTTAGCGAAGTTGATGCTCACGTCAACGTACTTGGCAGTCAGGGATGGCCCGAGGATATCAGAGCTTTCAATGGACTTGTTGTTGACATCGAAGAGAGTCAGAGTGAAACTTCCTGGGACGATGCTTTGATTGTTGTAGTTAGTAGATGATTCTCGTCTGCAAGACAGTCAGCACTCTGCAACATTCAAGATGTAGGGTAAGGATACCTGTTGATGAAGGGTCCAAGCGAAAAGCTGACGAAAACATCTTTGCTGGTGATCGTAGTGCTCCGGCGGATGATGATGGAGCTTCCATTCACAGAGACGACAGATAGAATTCCGCGGAGATTGGAGAGACTTCTGACTTGAATGGCTTCCTGGGTCGCCGTTCCCTTTGAAAGGAACTGATAGGCCGAGGGCACTTTGAGCTCGAAGTAGTCAGAAGCAAAGATGCCTGACTCCGCATTCCATTGGAACCGAAGCTCTGAGAACTCCCCGACAACTGAGTTGTTTGTGGTGAGCTGCATGCTGCTGTACTTTCCTGCCGTTATGGAGAAACCAGGCACACTTTGGTTTAACATCTGATCTACCCCGCCAGTGTCTTGCACAACTACAGTCAAGTTGGTCACAGTCGTTGGCCTGACGGGATTCTTCAGGGATCCAATCAGCTTCAGGCACATCGTGTTGCCGCGCGCGACGTTTGACAGAAGTCGCAAGCGCAAGACGTTACAATCGGATACACAGCCAGAAGCAACCACCTCAAGCTGTACAGATGTCTGCACGCTCACATTATTGAGGAGCCAGCTGGGTCGGTTTGCAAGGAGCTCATCGTTGGGGGGCACAACAGCCTGTGTGATCGTTTGAGCTCCGTCAAACCCACTAGGGAAGTAGACGATGATGACTTGTCCAGCAAAAATCGGGTTCACAGCAGCAAGGTACAAGTAGAAACTACCACGAGCGTGGGCAGTGTAGTCTTGCAAGCGAACGAAGGCGTTGGTGCTCACTTTGGTGAGGTTGGTAGGGGTGATGTCCGACGCTCTCTCCAGCAGGTTGCCATTCTTGTCGTAGGAGCGAAGGACGTAGCTCTGCTTCGCAACCCCCGCGAGGGGTCCATTGCGAACTCCACTGAAGGTGATGTTGACAAGATTGTAGGGAGGGAAGCTGTTGGCGAAGCCTCTCACGCGGAGAGTTCGATTTCCCACCCGCTCAATGGTGGTCGAAGTTCCGACATTGTCAATAGCGTACCTGACATTGGTCTCTGTGATATCTTTACCAACGTCAAGAATTTGCGGGTCAGGGATAGAGTTGTAGGCGACGGTCGTCGTCTGATAACCGGCATTGACACATTGTTGAAATGGATTGTTGGGCACTCCTCCAGTGTATGTAAAAAATGTTGTTGGAAGAATAGTTGTCATATCCCTCGAAAACACCTCTTGGACCGGACAAACTGTTTTCATTATGAAGATGGTTCTTGAAGCATAGTTGTTGGAACTTGCAGTTAACGAAATTCTGAAATTTCCAGGGGGCACCCTCGTCGCATTTCCACTTATTGCAGCTCCGGCAAGCGAAGCTCCTGAAATATCAAACCCGTCCGGAAAGTCTACCTCGATGTAGCCATCCGAAGGTACGCCCGTTCGGCTGTGATACAGAACGTTGAAGGAGGTGCTTGCACTGACAAACGTCGACTCAGGGTAGATCCATACGTTGCTCTTTGGCAGGTCAACCGTTGAGAAGCCAGTGGCCCACGTGGAGAGTCCAGACGCCTGGAGGACGACACCTGAAGCTGGGCTGATTGATCCATCGCTCGACGAGTAACCAACAGTTCCGTTGTAAATTTGAACCTCGAGGGTCATGGAGATCGGGGTGACAGGCATCCGTATAAGAGAGATGTTGATGCTGACTCTTACACCTGCTGGGATTGTGTCGGGTGTGATCGGATTGATCAGAATGGTGGGGCTAGAAGGGTAACCACATTTCACAGGGAACGTGACATTCAAGGAGGCTGAAGTAGTATTGGTTTCAGTCAGGCTCTTGCTCGCGAATGCGCCTTGTGTTATTGGATAGTCGATTTGAGGGAAGTTGACCCTTGATTGCCGACAAAATGCTACTGAGTTTGCAGGAAACTTCAAGATGATTTTGGATGTCTTCTTAACTTCAACAGGCGTGATAAACGAGATCTCAGTATTGCTCCAGTATCCGAGAGTCGGAGTTGTCAGGCTAAACGTCATCAGGTTTGTTATCGGTCCTGCTCCACTGAGAGTAACCGACGCGTTTGACGACTGGCAAACAACCCTCGAGAGCTCTGAGCTCCACGACAGCGACTGTCCCCAACTGGAAAGCTGGTATGGTGCTAAGTTGTTGCTGGACAGGACGCGAAACTTGAAGTTGGTCAACTGGAAGGGAGGTTGAACGCGAGGGGTTTGGAAGGGACCCAGGACAAGTTTGATGGAGCAGGGGCAGGACAGGAACGATACACCAGCCACTCTTCCTACGACGATGGAGCCTCCAGGACTTGCAAACAGGCTGACGGAGACTTGTGAAGGTGCCCTCGTCACTTGATTCACTAGGATGGAAAACAGTCTGATCGTTCCAGATGGCTGCAGGTCGCTGGGAACACTGACAGAGAAATTGAGGCCGTCCGAGTTGTTGTAGTTCTGGTCAAAGGATACAGTGAGGTTGACGACATCTGCCGTCGACAAGGGCAAGACGGTGAAGGCAGCGTTGATGGCGCAGCCTTCCGGATTTATGTTGAAGACTGGGTATGATGGGGCATCGTACATGGTCAGGATCGAACCACTGATAAGCTTCCTAATCGCAAGACTTCTGATGAGATTGTAGCCTCCTCCTGCAGTGGGATTCTTGAGTCCGGAGATCGTCAGCATGACATTTGTGTTGACGTCGCTCGACTTGTCCACTGGATTGACCATGAAGGTAAGACGAGTCGAACCAGTGACAGCAGTGACCATTGGCGTCCCACTCATGTTGTAAGTGTAAGACAAGTTCAAGTCAAGCATGGGGCTTGTCACGGTCATAGTCTGATCGATGTCAAGCGTGATGTTAAAAGGGAAATTCACTTTTCCAGGGATAGTGAAGCTTACATACATAGTCGTGCTTTGACCGACGTAGCTATTCGACAAGTATGCCAGCAAGCCAACCAAAGATCCCTTTCCTGTGGCCTGCAGTGCAATCAGATTGTTCCGGTCAATGACTGAATGCTGCGTAGAAGACCAAACCTGCACATCAATGTTCCCAGGCAAGATGTTAAACTCATCTGGCGAAATGATGTCGAAAACGGTCAATGACAGAGTTTGATTGGCAGCTATGGGAGTCGGCACCTCTCTGTAGACTATGACAGTCGATTGATTGGAGTAGTTGGTGCCGTTCAAATGACAGCCCAATGGAATAACGAAGGATCCAGGCTCCATCTCGGTCACGTTCGGAGCCTCACACACATCCGGCACTACGTACGTCTGGTTTGACATCCTCACGCTGCGCGTCGCTACAAGGGAGTCTGCAATGTATTGACCGCCGATCGTTTGGACCTGACATGTCGCACAGCCTTGCACTGAGTACGAAAAGTTTTCTTGGGGCCCTGGGCAGTACTGCAACGTTGACGAGCTGCACTGATAGGGGGTCAAGTACTGAGTCTGGTTGTCAATCGTCGAGTCAAGTGAGCCAGTGAAGATGTATCCCTCAGTGCTGGGAACGATTCTTGACTTGTCCGTGAGAAGCACCTTAGAAGGCAACCGGATGATGAAGGTTGCTTGCTCGGGTACGATGTTGGCAGTCTTGAACTTGATCTGAAGGGAGACCTTGGCTCCTCCAGCAGGAAGAGCTGCTGGGAAGAGTTCGGGTGAAGAAAGGGTACCAGGAACAATCGTGGACTTCCATTCTCCGCTGGCAAACGAGTGATAGCATGAGCCTGACTTGACATAGACTTCGAAGAAGAATGTTCCTTTCATCGGCGACTGATTGACTACATCCGTGTATCCTAGAGCATACGAAGGATTCTTGTAGCTCTTTATGTTGATCACGTTGTCAGAGCGCAAGGCGGTCAATCTGAAGTAGATCCGTCCAGCTCCCACTGATGGTGAACTGACTATCGATGACTCCACAAAACAAGCCGAAGGGGCTATGCTGTAACCAGCACTCATGATGGTCGCTGACCATGCTTCGGCTACAGCCGTGTCAACCTGGAAGTCAGGCGGGAAGTACATCACCAGGTAGTTGTCGGACTGGAACAACGGCAGGTCAACCATGGAAGAGTAAGTATACTTCAGATACAGGTCCGCAACTTCCCCTGCTACATCCGTGGTCACCGAGACCGAGAAGTTGGACGTGAGGTCATAATTCCTGGTAACGACTCGTGTTGTTTGACCATTGAGGCAGTAAGCAGGATAAAAAGTCTGATGGTGAATCAGGGCTCCCGATGGATCCACGGTCTCTAACATGTACATGCCATGCGCACCAGATATCTTCTTGTTCCGGAAACTGTGTAGGCCGTCAGTAGCCTTTCCTATGTCAAAGAAGGTGATCGGGGTGTCCGGGGGAACGGAGGTACCAAGCACGGTGGACAGAACCACCTTACCATTACTGACGTTGGCATTAAACGAGAAGTTCTGGAAGGTTCCATTGCAAGAATCTCGATCGGACACCCGGAGAGCGGACAAGGTAGATTGAAGAGCCACGCTGCTCGACAAATTGGTGCAGCGGAAGATGGCGAGCGAAGCGTTCACTGTGCTCGTGACAAGTTGAAGATCTGCCGATGAGAAAGTGAACCTGAGGGTGGACCCAGAAACAATCTCATTGGTTGTCTTGAGGCTCAGGTAAGTGAAGTGAGTTCGAGCTCCAGGATACTCGCTGCTCAATGGGCTTCCCGGTTGCTTAAGCGGGCAGAGCAAGGGAGCTGGATCGGTTTGAGTACTCCAGGAGGTGTCAAGCCATTCGAACTCTGATGCTGTCACATTGAAGTCCATCATTGACCCGGTCTCAATGGCATACCCTTCGGATGTCACCGTGGCCAACTCGAAGTTATATCTCAACGTCATGTCGAGGGTGGCGTTCGGACCTTCCTCCTGAGGGAATCCCTTGTTCGAGAAATTGTACAACCTCAGACGAACGATTGATCCTGCTGCGATGTCCAACCCACTTCCACTCCTTTGCAGCGTCAAGTTGAAGTACGCGTTGACTGTCCGGTTGAGGACTACAGACGTAAGATCCTTCACCACAGTAAGATTCTCATCGCATCCCTCCACGCACTCAGCAACGCTCGTACATCCCCACAGGGGCCCTCCGTTGCAAACAGGAGTGACAGCATCGTACACGGATGGAAAACTGAAGGCAAACTGGCCGTCCTTGGGGATCAGTTGATGATTTCTAATCACGATATCCGCATATCTGTGGTTATGTACAGTACTCAGAGTAGCTCCGAACCGCGCTGCGGTGTCGAGGGGGAAGATTGAACTGTTCAAGGAGTTGACAGATGCCAACAATCCAGAAGCGAACGCCGTCTTGATGAGTCTGCCGTCCGACCTTCGAGAAGCTGTGATCTGAATGGAATCACTCCATCCTGACAGCAGGGGAGACCTCAGTGAAGACCCTTGTAGTGTGAAGCGAATTGAAGCAAGGCTGTTCACAGGCAGCTGCAAGTTGACTTGGTTGGCAGTGCTTGATGTAAGAGTGACACTGGGAGAGTCCTTGACAGTGATCGATTCAACGCCCAAGAAACCTCTCGAGCCAGAAGGGAAACTCAATTTCAAGTTCTGGCCCGGAACGTTTGGGTCGAGGAAGACTTCAAAGCTGAGATCTGCGTTTTCTCCGACAGCAGCCTCCCTGCCTCCGTAGGTGAAGTTGAGGACTGCCGAGTCCAAGGAAGGCAAGATGGTGCCGAGACTGTTTGCACTCTGCCTCTGCATTACATGGGTGGTAGTCGAATAACAGATCTCGACGGTAAAATCGAAACTGCCTCCCACCCTCGCGCTCTTATATCCCCCAACAGAGAAGGCAACCCTGGAGTGCGCTGGGATGGAAGTGACTGAATTCAGCTCAAAAGTGCAATTAGTGTCATTCCGAAGAGGAGGAGCCTGTGTGTTGTTGGTACAGTTGATCTGGAACTGGTCTTCTGAAGGAGAGAGTTTCAAGACAGTAACTGTTCCCAATTTAAAGTTTATTTGGAAGCTTGACCCTGATTCAAACAAAACCGACCCTTGGGTTTCGGCTTCGCCCGACAGGATTGAACCAGCTGGCGTAATCCAGAGCAACTTTGATCCTTCCACTCCTCTTAAAGCGTCATTGTTGGCTAGCACAGTCGTGTTGACAGATTGAATGGCAACAGAACTCAGTTTCGTTCCAAACATCTCAAGAGATGATACCCTGACACTATCCTGCAAGTTCCATTGCGAGAAGAGGGTGAAGGCAAAAGTAAAGGTAGACTGTTCATCAGTATGCACAGCAGTCTGACCGGATGAAACCTGCTGCAAGGGTACAGCTTTGATACTCAAACCGAAGACAGCCGCTGTCTGCTGACCTTGATCAGTCTCAATTGACACGTTGACGGGAAGAGGCGAGCTTTCCTCGTAAGTTGGATTTTGTACGCCAGAGATCAAGATTCGCACATCAGCACGTGCGGCAGTTGAGTTGACAGTGCCGATGTCAACAGTCAAGGAAGTTTGGGTGACGTTTGATAGTACAGCAGTGTGAACTTTGATCGAGTCCACGCGCAGCTCGATTATCCTTGGATCTATCCACTCGTAGATTTCAGGAAGCTGCAGAAACACTTTGGTGCTGTTGGTATTTACATTGAAGGGTGAAATGAAAGTGAGAGAGAAATTGCTCTGGGAGTATGTCAGTTTGGGGCTGACAGTGCTCCATGAGCCTGTTTGGAAGTCTGCAGGCAGTTGGAGTCCTCCAACAGGTGTGAAAGCAGTGCACAATGATCCGTACACTCTCAGTGAGTTACTCAAAGTTTGCAAGTATGCTCTTGGAGGGTACTGGGGGTTGACAACGGGATTGCGAATTCCAGTCAAAGTGAAGGTGATTGACCCGCCACTCGCAATAGGTGCAAGAGGCTTGAACAAAAGTCCTGGCAACTTTGAACCAGTATCCCAACCATCTTGATTGTTACATTGTACAGTCTGAACTGATGAATCTGAAACCGTCCCAAAGTGATAACCAACATATTCCAGCACTCCCATAGTCACGCTGAAGTCGGATCCAATTGAGTACTTTGCAGCGTCTCTGAAGCTGTCACAATCTTCGTCATGACAAGAGATGAATGGAGATAAGAAAAGCCCGATCCTATCCTCCGTGCTAAGATCGTTACACATCGTCATCGTGACAGTGACAAGTGTTTGCGAGCCCAACCCCGGTGCAGACAGCACGACCTGAGCTGAATTCAGGCAGGGTGACAAATCGTAGACACTGACTGCATCTTGTTCATAGATCTCCAACCCTCGGTCCGTTGATGCAACATGTTGGACTGTGACACTCTGGATTTGTCCAGCAGTTTTGCGAGTATCCAATGGTGAGATTTGGAAAGTGAGGTACGAATCCTCTTCAGCAATCTTGCCAATTGCTTCATGTAAGACGGACCATCGTTGCCTCTTGATTTCCAATAAATTTGTTCCTGTCTTGTGAACATCTAGAACAGTGAAAGGGCAAGTATAGTTCCAAGATGCTCCTGGACAATAATCGATGTAATCATAAGGCTCCTTGCAAGCAAATTCCACCTTTGTGTCGCTCCTTACAATAAGATCAGGACCGAAATCAATCACAATTCTAGAATCGGGAGGAACCATTGGTTGATTTACTTGCAGCTTGATGGTAACATTCACCTCTTGGTCGGCGATAGGCGCTTCATTGTTCAAAGCTGTGATGTCCATCTTGATCGACTTGAAATGCGCAGTTGTCAACTGCACACTGAAAATCCCCTTGTCCATCGTGATGTTTGATTGCGATGCAAGAGAATCTACAACCCAAGATCCTGAATCTCCAGCTGATCCATTCCTGTTTTGAATTTCAGCCAAGCGAAAGGATACTCTGCCTTGGCAAGTCGTCATCGATAGTCCTTTTCGTTGTAGCAACACATAGCTCGAGTTGCTATCAATCAGAGCAAGTTCATCATCGACATTCGAATCATCACAGTGTAACTGAGTGGAGGTTTCAGTAGGTGAAAAATGAAAGTATGGAGGATACATGATCCTGATCATATCATACGGATAAAAAACATTGAAAAGATCAAAATGGATTTGAAAAGAGGTCATTGCATAGGCGTTGCTGTCATTGAGCTGAATTAATGGATTCCTTAAGAGTGCAGGTTCCAAGAAAAATCCATCATACTGAGAAGCCTCAAGAAATTTCGAAGGGCTCAAGAAGGTTCTCAGCACGAAGGTTCCTGTCAACCCACTGACTCTAGGATTGTATGCACGTTCCAATTGAAATTCAATCCTAGACCCCACCGACAAAGGCTTGGATGGAACAGTAGCGTTGTCCCAGTAGGAATCGCGGATAACCTCTGAGCAGTTCGCAATAATGCTTGCAGTACACAGTCGAAGACACTGCTGAGCCTCCATGTGCATACAGTTCTTCAGCCTCAGCAAAGGCGGGTGCCAGGTCTCATTCATTACACGATCAACAAGCATCATCTCCAGCGAATTCCCCAAGACCTGCAACTTGAGACTTCCGCTGATGCCAGTTAGAGCATAGTCGGAATAGGAGTATATCTTTTTGTACTCCAGAGAAAAATTTCCCATGAGCATGCGGGAGGTTTCGTTCCAATAAAAACTCACATTGCAAAGGTTCTGACTGCAAAGTCGATCGTCCACCTCTGTAAGATTCTGCTTCCTGATCACGTTGGCAGACATGAAGTTGAAGCCATTTGGAAAATCAAGTTGAATTCCACCATAAGCTGGAACTTCTTTGTTGCAAACAAAGCTGATCTTCCACGTGGACTCTGCTCCGCTCACAAGAGGGGTAAGACTCATTTCAATTTGTTGTACCTGCACAGCTTGCAGAACACCATCAAGATACGTTCCAGCTTGAATTGCTGGTAGAGGTTTAGAATCACCAGTGCGGGTTGTTACATTCAAAATTCTGTCTACAGTATAATAAGGGGAAACAACACCGACAATCACGAGTGAGTACTGGATTCCCTTCACCAAAGACACTCCAGTCAGGTCTACTGAAACGAAGGATTGATTGAAGGAGGAAATGCGACTCCCCTCAAGATAAGCGACAGCATTCTGCGAAAATTGAAATTCTGGCGTCAAACTGATATCCATAGATGACATAGCTTTTGACAAGGCGATGCTGATCGTAAAGGTCACAGTCAAATTTCCGATCCTATCAGTTGTCTGGGGAAACGAAGCCTTCAAGCTTTGCAAACCGGAGGGGACAAGATTTTGAGCAGGTTTGCCTGCACCAATGTCCAACATACGGATGCTAGATCCTATCATTTCCTTCGTCTCAATTGAAATGCTGTTCATGAACTTCCCCGCATAAAGCCGATTACGAAAGCCGCCTACCTCCAAAGAAATCTCACTTGTCGCATCAATTTGCTGGAGGATACAAACTTCAACAAGGATATACATAGGGTCGGGTTGTAACGATGGGCTGCAATCCTGGAATTGAGAATTGGATGGAATCATTATGCTTAGCGTAGGCTTCTCATTCACAAGCGTCAAGTCACTAGTGGGAAAGCGCAAACTGATTCTACTCATGTTGTTTGCCAAGAGGTTGTTGATCTGAAATGAGATGGTCACGCTCACATTTTCCTTTCCAGTCTCATAGGAGCTTAGTCCAATGTTCAAATTCCTAACATAATTTGGTTGCAGTGGAACTGAATTGCTGATGCCGTAATCTAATGTAAAGTTGTTTTCATTCCAGCTCTCCACTTGTACAGCACCAGATGAAAATTGTGAAGGAGTAAAAACGTTGGTGATATTCAAAGTGACATCCTGATTGCGATCAATTGAGTTTTGAATGTTGCGTAGCAAAATGCTTGATTCTGTTGGCAATAGGTATGATGTACCAATGACATCGATTCGAGCATTAGCACTTCTGACATCGGTGACCGTTCCGGATATCGTTGATGAGGGACGGATGTTGAAATTAGAGGGAAACCGAACTCGAATGCTACCGCCTTTTGGAATACTTGTGACAGTCTTAAAAGTCACATTCGCAAAGGTTAGCTCCGAAGAAAGGGGTGAAGCTACCGACATGTTGACTCTTGAGAATTCGTTCGTTGTGAGATTTATAGCAGTTTTCCCAGTTCTGCTGAACCAGTAATGTGTTGTCTGGTTTAATTGAGGGTCATTGATACGATTGTTGTAGAATTTCATCTTGTAGCTGGGAACTTTCGTGGTTCCACGAAGCTCATCGGTTGCATCAAAAATCTGGATTCCAAATTGAACTTTCCTTTCTTGGAGAGCTCCTGGAAGTTCACCAGGAGTATAGAGAGGGTTGACGATTCCTGATATTGAGAAGCGAATCCTTTGAATCGTTCCCCTCGCAACGGAAGATTGCACCTCAAGGTCTGTGTTGGCATAGCTCGTCATCTCAAACATGTTGGTGCAAGGAGGGCTGCTACAAGGGTCGGAGGAACCAAACGATGTTCCAACATCTGTCGTATCCGTCACTGCCGGCTCAATCGTCAACGACCCCTTAGAAATTGGAGTGTTCTTGAAGAACCCTGCTTGGCTGGTGATACCATCCAGACCCGTCACGCCCTCTCCAAACTTTCCTCCACCTTCTATATTTACAACCGAGTCGGATATATTGAAAGTACTTGGAAATATCACCCTGATGATGGTGTACTTGAGCTGGGTGTTACTATGAAAGATGGCTGGACTGATGCCAGCTGCACTGTAGATCGGATACAGATCGATTGACACGCTCGCGCTCACCAGGTTACCGAGGCCCAGCCTCGAAAGGGTGATATTGGCGTCTACAGGCAGGACGCAGTCACCGGCAGGACATTGATCGGTATGAGTAAGGTTGTAGTTCATGGTCTGAGCTGAGGTCATAGGCAGGAAGACGGAGGCTGCGGAAAGGATCAAGATCGAGGAAAGACGTGTCAAAAAGAAACCCTTACCGAGGAAGAGGAGGAGAGCGGAGAAGGGAAGGCCATGGCAGGAGGGTGAGAGAGTTCTAGCAGGAGGTCTCATGTCGGTATCTCCACGTGTCTCAAACTATCGCTGCTGCTCTTGGCACTGCCATGCGCTCCTGCCTCTTTCCACCAAGAGCCATTCCCTTGTCATCCGGCGCCCAAGCGGCAGCGCTCCACAGCTCCAGTAAGTACAAAGATTATAAAACTAGTATTAAAGTCTCTTTTATAAAAACATTTGAGGAAAGCCGGTAGTACTGAGAGTAGTACTGGAATGAAAGTTGAGTGAGTTAAGAATGTTTTATAAAGCGACCTAGGGTACAAAAGTTTGATTCACAAAACAGTTTTATCATCTGTAGCAGTGATGTCACGGCCTTGCCTCCCGCCCCCCCGCGGTGTGACAGTGGCGTGGTGCGGCGCAGCCTGTGCACTCAGTGCAACTGCTCGGCGAGAGTGTCGGGAGTCCGATCCACGCCTCCATGTCCCCGCGGTCACAGGCTTGATTTTCAGATCTGGCATACGACAGCCGAGTGCCATGTTTTATTGTACTGCAGCTTGATGACATCATGCCACCTGGAGGAGGCCCCCGTCAGATGTGACTGCCGAACACAGAGCTCTGTCAAGGTGACCTTCCCATTCTTGTGTCGTACACCTTGAAGTGTACGAGTGAAATTCACAACAAACCTCTCAACAAAGTCACCTCTACAGCTTGAGAAGAAATTCCCGAGAAGTCGCATCCCCCCATGGCATACAAGAAATGACCTGAACCTGCACATGCATGGGAATACCGTCCAGTCCTCATCGGCTCTTCTTTCCTCCATTTCCCCTCCCTAAAAGGCGAGGCCAATCAGACCAGACTCATGCTGTCTGTGACAGAATGAGGGGTCACCTCGGATCAAGGGATTCTACTTCAAACAGCGCTGCTGCATCAGGGCTCAACGTCTCCTCGTAAACGCCTCTCATTTCATCCCAGACTTTGGCGACATGGTTTCCTAAACTTCAGACTCAATCCGTCAGCTCTCCACAATAGTCTGGATTTTGGTCATTACCCGCCGACTGCATAGATCCTCTTTGTCTCGGGGACGACTGCGACGGCATGGCAGTACCTTTCCCGAAGAAGCTTCGGCCCCTCGATCCACGATCCCTTCAAAGGTTGAATGTAAGGCAATCAGCAGCTTCTGAAGACACGAGTCACCCTTCCAAGATCCAACAACTCACAAGAGTCGAGCAAATATTGGCTGCTGCAACCTCCAACAGCATAAATTCGATCTTGACACACCGCAGCTCCAAAGCTGGAACGCTCTGTGATCATCGAGGGCTCGGGTCGCCAGCTCTCCCCCACACCAGCCTCCGACACACTCAAACTTTCACACGAGTTCATCAGTAGCATTCCATCGAATCCGCCGATAGCGAAGACCCGGGACTGGTACCCGCACGCTGCTAAGCTTACTCTAATAGACGACATGTTTGGCTAGATTCAATCGTCACGGAGATTGATGATCCACTAGATATTACATACCCCAATTACCCAATCATTTGATCTTTGAGGCGAAATGGAGAGATACTCAACCGTCCTGAGTTTCGAGCACTTTTTCTGCGCAGAACGTGACCAAACAGACTGAAGTGCAGAATAAGCTTTACAGTCGGCAGCGTTTCATCGTTGTCGATTCCTCCAACAGCAAACAGCTTTAAACAAGAGTAAGTAAGTTTGCGAATGCGTATTTAAAGGCAATATTGCCTTTCCACATTCATATGCGAGCCCAAAGGAGGCTCTTGGTGAAATCATATCTGGGACTCCCTTCCACTCCCTTATCTGCCTGGAACGTCTTCACGTCTAGCACAAGTCAAGCAGAGCACGGAATACGATGGATCGTCGCTAGGGGTGAGCCTTTCACCGTGTTCATATACAGCATATCCAGGATAGGGACCAGAGTATCCTCCCATGACCAGGAGCGAGTCCCCAGCAGTATCCTCCTGCTCTCCCTCATCCAAGCGGAGAAGATGTTCCAGTTTGGACCATTTGCCATATCGTCGGCCATACTCTTCACGGTAATACTTGCTATAAACATGCTCGTACAACCCCTTCAGATCTCCATCTTGGCAGAACAACGTTTCCTCCGAATCTACGGAATGTTAGAAGTCCATCTGATTCGCGAGTTGAGTGAGAGAAAAAGATTAGCACCCAATTCTTCCTTCGACAACCCTTCCTGGGACGGTCCTTCTTCATACCACATTTTTTCTTCCTGGTCAATGCAAGAATTTGTACAAGGTGAGTAGAGGAAGCATGTATAATACAGAGAGCAGAGTTTACATCGGCCCCGGATATTTCATCGTGTAAAATGTCCAGCTCAACTTCCGAACCCTGACAAGTTAACAGTTCACCATGTGAGTGTGATGACATCATTATTCACAAAGAACCTCTTCATCGCTCGATCCGTCTTGCTTCGCTGAAAGGCAAAAGTCAGACTCAAAGTTTGGCTCCGACGCCCAACCTTTTCTAGAGCTTTGTCTCCCTGGGCCCTTCTTGCCCTTGCCCTTGCCCTTGCCCTTGCCCTTGCCCTTGCGTTTTACATTCATCTGTTAAGGTATCCAAAACAATCTCACAATCTTGCAGCAATCTTGGTCCAGGGGAAGGCTTACCTTTTGAAAATCGGAAATCAGCATCTTGGCTTCCAGAATGTCCGGATCCTGCATCATTTCGTCCTAATTGAACATATTCGATCTCAATGGATGCATTCATTGTTAATTTGACTATCAACCTCAACAGAGTCGATTTCATCTTCAAGCTCTCCATCATCACTGATGTCCTGGAGGTCACTAGATCCTCCTCGCAATGCGCTGATTTTGGTGGAGTCCGTTCCAGACACAGCCAGATTACATCTCCGATGAAGAAACGGCACGTCATGTTTAAGTCCCGTCTCAGTGGAGGGCACGAATACCAGGGAACAGCATAGACTAAGGAAAACAACTTCTTGTCGAACCATCAGGTTGTTGTTCTCCCCAATTTCACCGACCCATCATCGCGTCTTGCACCTTTGAAACATTGCAAGAAAGAGATAGAGATCTTTCCTTCCCGTTATGCTCAGCTCTTCCTCCTTGATTTTCCCCTCTCCTTCCCTTGGCTTCGTCGTCCTGCATCTGACGAGAACATGCTTTTCGTACGCGACGCATCTTGGATCTCCAGACCCGGCCCGCCTGCTTACATTTCAGCCATAATTTTCAAGACGTCTTTTATTTTTCAAAAATAGCCATGAAATGCATGCATTGCCGATGAAAATCTGAATTTCCTAGTACCCAGTCCTAGCTCTATAGGAGTATATACTAGGACAATTCTTCAACTACCCCCCATTTAGACCCCACCCTACCCCGTGAACGAGTGTTTATTTTTTCCCGCACGAGAGCCGATCTGAAAGCGCTCGCTCAGCTCAGCATGCCGTCGGTGTATGTGAGGACGCTCAGCAGCGTCGCTGAGGCCAGCAAGACAGGATCCGTCAAGGACCTCAAGAACTTCCTCGAGGAGACTCAAGGTCAGACCAGTCCGATGTCATCGTGAACTTTGCGATGGTGGTGGGAGCGGATGGTGCTGCAATGTTGCATGTAGGCATGGAGGGTTGGTAGAGGGCGGCAGGAGTCGTAGAGATGTATGTAAACGCCAAGTCTGATGTAAGGTTGTGCAGGAATCCCCGCTGATGAGCAGCGTATCTCCTACTGCGGTCACATCTTCGAGGATGACGAGCTCCTCGAAGAGCTCGAGGACAAGATCACCCTCGACATGACCCTGGATCTTGAAGGAGGTGGCAAGAAGAGGAAGAAGAAGACCTACACCAAGCCCAAGAAGATCAAGGCCAAGCACAAGAAGGTCAAGCTCGCTGTCCTCAAGTACTACCGTGTGGATCAGTCTGGCAAGGTTGAGAGGCTTCGCAACGAGTGCACCAAGCAATGCGGTGCTGGAACCTTCATGTCCAACCACTTCAACCGTCACTACTGCGGAAAGTGCCACTTCACCCTCATGTTGGTCAACCCTGGACGCGACCCTGCCCTCGACAAGAAGAAGGACGCTCCCAAGGAAGATGCCGCTGCCGCTGCTGCTGCTGCTGCTCCCGCCAAGGGCAAGAAGAAAAAGTAAACGGCTCCGCTGTGAATGTTGTCGGCTTGTATTGATTTCAATAAAGTTTGATCTGGTCCATTCGTTGTGTGGTTAAATGTCTTCATTCAGTTTGTACATCATTTCGAGAAAATTTTGGAACACATGGAAGTATAGATGTGACCATGAGAACTACCACTCAGCAGCAAAGATGTCTACAATGGCTTCTGTCTCTTCTTCGGCGGGCAACTTCTTCACCACCTGCGGCACCTTTGTTTCCACATTCGCAGGAAGTATATCTGCCTTCGTTCCAGTAGGGAAGGAGGGTACACCATTCCGCTTGCTCGCAAGCTCTCTTACCAGCCGTTCGATCTCGCCCACATCAGATGTCAGAGCAATCTTCTGCCGCATTTCGGGATTCTCGTTCAGCCCTCCCTCTACTGTAGAGAGAAGTTTGAACACATGAGCCTTAACAAACCCGGCTGGAGCTGGGAACTCCCGCTCCAGCTCGAAGTACTCGAGAGCCATCCGGAAGGCGCAGACCTTCTCTCCATTGTTGAATAGTGCTGGGTTGCGCCTGAGCCATTCCGCCGACATGACAGCAGCGCAGCCAGTCTCGTCCAGGCAGTCTACCACGTCCTCGAAGGTGACTATGTTGCCGTTGGAGACGACGGGGATAGAAACGTGCTCCCTGATCTTCTTGATCAGGCTCCAATCAGCAGGCACAGCGTCCGGTCCCTTGTTCTCCCTTGTTCTCCCGTGAACAGTCAAAATCTGAGCTCCTGCATCTTGCAGACACTTGGCGTACTGCAATGTCTTGTCGTGGTCATCGAAGACTCTGATCTTTGCAGTGACCGGAATGTCAAGGCCTCTGTGCAACTCATTCACCAGGGAGAAGACAAGATCGAAGTCTTCCATCAGGAAGGACCCGTAATTCCCTTTCTTCGCTATACCTTGAGGGCAGCCCAGGTTGAGATCTACGGCATCGCATCGATGCTGCACTAGTCGTGCTGCTGCCAAGAAGGTTTCCGGATGATTCGCACAGAACTGGACGAACAAGGGCCGGTCCTCTGGTTTCCCATCATCCTCACCAAACTGATCATTCCTGTATTGCACGTTTTCCAGGAAGAGCCTTGCATGGAACATAGGAGTGTAACTGCAGGTCACGTCAGGAACGATCTTGGAGCATGACATCTCTTTACCACAAGGTTGTTCCGTATCTCCTGCAAAGATGACGGAATGCAAGCTCTGACTGCTCCACCATGGGTGCACAAACATACTTGGGAGCTCCTATCGAGTTCCAAAAATACCAACCTTGCAGCTTGGCGATTGGGCGAGGAATGCTGGGGTTTGCAGCTGTATCCACGACAGCATATTTCGCGTCCCTTCCTCCAACTCTGCCGGAAATCAAAGCAACACCCACAGGTGGACCGAGAGGGTCCTTGGGTTGCAGCTCCTCTCCTTCACCCTGGCAGGCTCGGTCACCGATTCCGAGCTCAAGCAAGCGAGGGGTCATACCTTCTTCGAGGAGCTTCTCTTCTTCCTGTATGGCATCGCACGTCACGGATTATTCGTCTGCTGTCTCATCCTCTAATTCGCTCTCCACCATCGCCGACGTCGCTCTAATGATACTAGTTCACTGCTGGACTGCACGTGTACTGCATGCAAGGCAAGCAAACTATTGCGAATAGAATGGCTGTACAACATATATTTTAAATATATATACATTTTATATATGCATTTAAAGTGCAATACAAAATTTCTAAATATATATACAATATTGAGGGCACCAGCCGTACCCAGTACATAAACTTCAAAAATGTATTATAAAAACATTATTTTGTACCAATTGAATCGGTTATTTTAGCTTTATATTAGTATTTATATCAAGCCTGGTAAGGGGCAAAAAGGAAACCATATGGAGAGGCGAGGAAGAGGATGAGGAAGACGAAGAGAGAGATAGACATGCTGCTACACATATCGCCCGAGCTTCAGCTAGACGATGTAACGCGGTCGAATCTTACTCCGTATAGCATGATTCCAGTTACCTTCATTCAGTTGTGATTTTGTCCGAGTAGCTTCCTTTACTCAAAGTAGCCTATATGATGAAAAATTTGCGTAGCTTTTGTATGTTTCGTCAAACAAGAATGTAGTGAAAATTGAAGAATGATATACAATATCATCTTTTCACCTGTCATTTTCATCTGTGCTGATGATGTTATTGTGCTCAGTTCACACGTCTCACGGACCGTTCTAGCCATGTCGGTAAGACACTAAATCCGGGAACCTCCAAGACGCTTATACCCACACAGGCTTCAGCTACAAGGATGCATCTGCCACCAACACCTTCGAGCCGTCTGACGACATGAAGTGGGGGCATTCTCACGCCATGGTCAGCTGTCTGTACTTGCCTCAGAGTGCTAATCGTGGTGTGGCAGGGAAGCCAGGGAACCAACATCGCCACCAAGTGGCTGCCAGGAGGATCCGAGAGCTTGAACCAGGACTTCCAGTGGAACGGAGAGCCGTGAAGGGGCACAGCCAACGACACGAGACAAGCAAGACAAGCCTCGACATGCTTAATTTACATCTAGAGTGTATGAATTTCCCCCCTCCTGGGGCTTATGGAATCGTCCGCTGCCCTTCTCTCTCTCGAACTCGTCAGCGTGCAATCGATTGTTGACGTCGCAAGTACCTGGACTGCAGAGGAGCTCCAGAGACTCTCGTTCACCCTCCTTGTCTTCCTCCTCCCCCGAGCATATGCTGTTGACAACAGACATCGCTCGCCCTCCCTCCCTCCCTCCTCTTGCATGCCATTCGATTGCATGCTGGAGAATTTCTGGGGTGAGGACTGGCAATCCCTTGATCTGACCTTCTTCTCTGAGGACTCCCCATCGCACAACAGCCTGGAATGATGTTATAACGATTAGATCACACCTCTTCTCCGATCACAGAGCACTTAGACTCCAATCATTCGAAACCAGAGCAGCTTCTCAGTCCTCGCATCAACCAAGAGCTCTACAACCCACTGCACCTCTGGCCCTCCGCAATGTGTCACCTGCTTTGAATCATGAATGGACGCGGCGCATATGATACTCCTATCCAGCACAGCCAACATCTCTCGCGGAGTGCTGTAGGACGAGGTCAATTGGCAACAGTAAAGCGTAAATGTGGAACAACCGAATCTGGTTCAGAAGGTGAAGGATCGCCTGTCTTCGAACGTCGTGACCCTGCTCATCGTAGGCCAGCACAAGGGCATCCGAATCGCTGTTTTCTGAGAACGATTCTTGGTCTCGGTCTCGCTCTCTGCCAACTCTCCCTGATGCCCCAAACATGTAATGCTGAAATCGCCGTAGGGCAGTTTCTTGCGATTCCGTCTCGGAGGAGGAGAGCTTCTCTCTAGCAACGTGATTCACTATGGGGCTGAACCCGAGCGAAGGCGACAATTTGTTAGGATGCCTGAAGCGGTGTGACGCCTAGCAAGACCAGCAACAAGCTTGTTTTCGACCTGCTCATCTTCTTGCTCGCATGAGACCATCGTCGCTCCGCCATGGCAATCAATTCGGCCAAAGACCAGCTCAAGTCGATGACCTTGATCAAAGATTTCAGAGGCTTCAAGGCACAAGGATGAAAGCAGCACCTGAAACAGATCGAGCCGAGCGACTCCTTGGAGGAATTGGTCATCAAGACCAAGCTCATACCTTGAAGTTCGTTACGACCTTGGAAAATAATTCTTCAAACCAACGTACCGAGTTCCTGGAAAGAAGCTACGAACCCTGTGGTAAAACATCCACGAATCAGATGCGAGAGATGAAAAAGGGGTTTGCATGCCTGCATGCAGACAAGATCTCTCTGTGCATGATCGACTTGCAGAAATGATTCAAGGGGCCTGCAATCATCGATCTGTTTTGCAAAGCACCATCCTGTGGGCCATTCCTTGAGCTTGATGGCGAATCAGAATCTTCGAGAGACGAGATGCAGTCTATTCCATCAATCCAGACACTAATTCCTCTTCCCCATCTGTGAAAGAATACGTAAGAATGTACAGCTACGAAATAGATTCCAGTTCACCCCATATTACGGACACAGCGGTCGAGAACAGACAATTTTTCCCCTTTCAAAGGAATTCACGCGAATTCAACTTTAGAGGCAAGATCACCAGGTGAAGCTGACATCCAATCATCGAGCATTCTCCTGGCAAGCTTATGGTCTCCAAAATAGACACTTACTTTCTTGAGCGCAAGGATCAAAACATCTGTTCTAGATCTATCGGTCTTGCTTTTAAATTTTGTCGCAAATTTGAATTCTTCATGCAAGGTCTGGGGCAGCACACGAATGCTTCCAACAATCCTTTCGGCAACTCCATGGAACCTGGCTTCAGTCAGAGAAAACCTCGTAGAAAACGTCTGCAAGGCTTTGTATAGGATCAACAGCTGTACTAGAACGAAGGGGGCCATCTGCATCTGTGAATCAGGAAAGGTCGGAGCTATCTGGGAATTTTCGACGGACAGGGATTGCATCCTTTGCAGAACCTTTCGATGAATATCAGTCTAAAGACGAATGAAAGATCAAATCATACCTTTCTCCTCAACCATGGATGAAGCTTCAAATTGGTCGACATCACGAACAGTATGACTCGGCTGACAATAACTTCCCAGAGAAATTTGATATAATCTCGTCCCCGTTGAGAGGCCGATAAAAAGGTTTGGAACTGTGTCATGCATTCTAGAGAAAGAACACTCGTCTTTTTTAAGATACTTGATGCAATCACTTGAATCGACTGGTATCTCAATCCAGTGATCGTTGCCTGAACTATGAAGCGAACCAGGTGGAAAACTAGCAGGCTGCATGCAAATTTGAAGATTGTTAAGAACGATCGTTTGTACACCAACAGAATATTTGGAGATGACTTTCAGTAAAGTGTGAGTTGAATGAATTTGACAGAGAATGAATTATTACCTGTTTTAAGCTCAAAATTCTTGATTCGAGTGCATGAAGGCTTCTGGTAGAGAGTGAAGGACTGTAGATTGCACAGAGCAGAAACAGCTGGAGGAAGAAAAATTCAGGAAAGCGCATGATGTATGATGAACCATAGAAGCAATTTGTCATAGCCAATGCAATAACAGACCTTTGCACGGAGGAGTTCTTCTTTAGGAGATTGGCAGGAAGAACTCCGTTGTGACCTGCTCTCCTTGTCTTCCTGCTTGGAGCTCTTAGATCAATCAAGAACAGGACAGACGTTTTCACTTCTCTTGTGACAATCTTCGAAATGGAATGGCCTTGCGATGATAATAAGCCGTCGATGATACTCTGATCGAAGTCTTTCAACGGACGTGGAAACACAACTTCGATACGACGGACCGATATCGAGACTGACATGATACAGTCCACGAGATCTTGTTGGCTCCAATGTTTCCTAGAAAACGTCAATCTCTACAGGATTCAAATGTTTTTTGACCTAAAATGATCTTCCAAGCTCCTTTTCCTCGACCATGGAAATAAAAATCGAGAGACCCAAGTACTGCAAGTTGAATTTTACATAGTTGTAGCAACTATTCTTAATACAAGTTACAGACGAGGTCTCCATACCGGGATGCGTCGTTGAATCCAGTTCGGGTCACAAATTCTTTAATCATGCGATCCCAGCAGGCTGCATCGCAAAGATCCACCTGGACAATGGTCTCTTTTAAATTTTTCTACTGCTATGCAACGCTATCTTGGCTAGACGTACCTGCAACGTTTGGGAAGCAAGCGGAGAGTTGCTAGCAGACGCACGTGACTGAAAGTGTTTTCTCAGAGCCTATTGAGCCTCTTGTCAATGTTCCTTCTCTGGACAGATGAATACTTACAGTCTTTCCTGATCCCCGCGAGCCGAATACAAGCGAACTCTTGCTACCGTCAAGGACGGCAGATTGACCTGCTCGAGTTATGACGTTACAGGGCAAATATCCGAGTAGCAATGCATCGTATTCACGTTGGATAAAGAGGTTGTCGGCACTCAGATCTTCCCTGTCTGCAGAGCGAGCTGTTCGCATTCGTATCGTCGTGAATACAGCGTGAATGTGACCCAACATGACATCATGCCTGTGAAGGGGTTCTGCTTCAACCCGTAGAAGTCGAGGAATTCGGGGGAAACTCCCTCAAACTGCAGGATCCACAAGACCTGAAAAAGCAGAAGATTCACCAACATAGACTGCTGCACGGACATTGGCACACCGCTAACAGAGGCGTTTTGAAGTGCATGACCGATGGAAGCTATCACATTCTCGCTTTTCCTTGAGCTTCGGGCAGAGAAACTTGTCGTCTTCCTGCGGCCATCTCCCGGATTTCAGATATTGCGGGGATGGGGTCGAGGTGTGAAATGAAAATCGGCATTCCCTCATTTGTTTTTTGCCCCAAGGCTCTCCTTCTAATTCCGAAAGCGGCATATGCCCTCCCCTGCTCACTCCTATCCATCTCCTCCCTTCATCAACCTTCTCCTGCCTGCCTCTGCCTCCTTCCCTCACTTCATTGCTTGCGATCCCGTTTCCCGCCATCGACTAAAATCACATTTTCGTGCGGCAGGCTCTCCTCACTCATACTGGTCACCGCTGAGTCAGAGTCGGCCGCTGAGTTCCGCCGGGGCCGGGCCGCGGGTCGGGCCCGGCGGCCCGGCGATCATCGCTCGGACCCGGTACCGTACCGTAACGGCGGCCCGGCCCCCGACGGGCCGGGCCGCACTGTGCCGCGGCCGGGGGCGAGCATCACATGATGGCACTGCATGGCGGCACTGCACAGGCCAACTTGGCGTAGCCTACTCTGAGTCAGCAGGGTTGATTGCCGCAGGTTCTCCGAGGCTCTGTCTTTTCTCTTCCGCATGGCCGGGCCTGCGGGCAGTGCCACGGTCCTCGAACGGTGGTTGGGTAAGTGAGAACTTCGGAAGCCTCCCGGCGGGCCGGCCGCAGCCCGGCCGCGGCGGCCGGGCGGGACCGGCCCCCCGGACCGTACGGTCCGACGGCCGCAGCCTCCGGGAGTCCGATCCGACTCCGCTCAACCGGCGTTCGGAAAGCGCGGCTCGGAACGGTTACTCAGTCATAACGGGCCTGCGGCCACTCGGACTCTTTCAGGCTCATAGGACCGTCGCATCCGAAGTTGGCAGCAAGTACCGCATATTGTTACAAAGTTTTAAAAGGAACTCTAAATTATTTTAGAACATCCCCAAAAGTATTTTTAAGGGGTCGTATCTCTGCGAGTCCTGGTACATGTAATTACATACAGTACAAATGTCATTGAGAGGACCCCTTCTTTTGATAATGATGAAGGAGGCTAGGGTGGATTTCTCATTTTTAAAATTTACATTTCTTTGTAAAGAGGCAACAGGGGGCCGTCTCTATCACGGTGGGGTGGGGTACCCCTCAGTGAAGAGACAGTCAATATGTGGGGTAAAACGAGGGGTGATTCCATACCTGGGGGTTCACAAAAGGGGTGGGTTCTCGACGGGCCGCAAAGATTCAAGATGGCGAAGGCAACAACGATGGTCATGTTGATGCTTGTCATGGCACTCCCCGTGGTGAGCATGGCGGCATTGAAGGTAAATTGATTGAATTGATGAAAAGTCACCATGAATTGGAAACTTTTGCGTTCTTCTTGATCATACACGCTCCAACAACAAACTGTTGCTTACTTTTTTGCTGTCAGATGAAAATTTCATCCCTCAAGTGCACCACTGTGACAAGAGGGTGGGGAGATGACGACCATACCGACCCCGACGGCTGTACTCCACATACTCGCTTGACCATGCGAGGATGGGGAGATGACGACCATACCGACCCCGACGGCTGTACTCCACATACTTGCTTGACCATGCGAGGATGGGGAGATGACGATCATACCGACCCCGACGGCTGTACTCCACATACTCGCTTGACCATGCGAGGGTGGGGAGACGACGATCATACCGACCCCGACGGCTGTACTCCACATACTCGCTTGACCATGCGAGGGTGGGGCGACGACGATCATACCGACCCCGACGGCTGTACTCCACATACTCGCTTGACCATGCGAGGGTGGGGAGATGACGACCATACCGACCCCGACGGCTGTACTCCACATACTCGCTTGACCATGCGAGGGTGGGGAGACGACGATCATACCGACCCCGACGGCTGTACTCCACATTTCAGATCCAGATTCGTTTAGATTCCTGGATGTGCAACTTTCGATATTGCGATGACACGAACTGAAGCTTGATGTGTTTGAAAACGTGCTACATGTAACTCTTTCCGGTGTTTGTTTTAGTTCCTTGACACGCGCAAAATGCTCAAAGTGTTTGCTCTGTAGCAATATTTTGAAGCTAGCTGTGAATATGTATTTGATGAATCAACCAAACTGTGAAGACTTTGCGAGTCTAAACTTTTGATCGCCGGATCCCCTTTGTTGGTCGATGAATGTCTCAGAACTTCATTCTCATCTTCAAAACGCTCTTGACGCGTCGATCCGTGAAGTATCAACTCTCTCCTTGAGATGAGTTCCGCCGAGTCGCAGTTCTCACAGTTGGTTGGCAAAATGCTGCCCCTTTCATCTTCTATCTTCAATGATGGGGCGAGCCTGTAATTTGTTTTGACTAAAGACTGCTTAGCTGAGAATACTCCTACCCCCGCTACCCCTCCCCTGCCGCACCTTCCTCCCCCTCCTCTGCCCCTCCTCCTCCTCCTCGTCTTCATCTTCTTCCTCTTCCATCATCATCAGCACCATCGCATTGCCTCAATCTTACACTCTTGATCATCGACACCTCATAGGCTCTCAGTCTTCGACCTCTCCCGTGCGCGGCATGGGGAATTCTCAGAGCAATTGCTTGACGTTGCCATGTGGAGGCGAATATGAGGGAGAGCAATGGCAACTCACTCCTCACGGTTCTGGAACGTGCCACTGGACAAAGGAAGGACGGATGTACCAGGGCGAGTGGAAGAGAGGGAAGATGGACGGACGTGGGAGGGAGACGTTCGATCATGGAATGCAATATGACGGAGAGTGGAAAGATGGCCTCCGGCATGGCCATGGTGAGGAGACATGTCCGATAGGAGGGTCCTACAAGGGCGGGTGGAGCGAGGGAATGAGGCATGGGGCAGGGAGACAGACTTGTCCTCTCGGAGGTTGCTACGAAGGAGAATGGAAGAAAGGAATGAGAGACGGCAAGGGAAAGGAACGCTTCTCCCATGGTGGGTCCTACGATGGACAGTGGAAAGAAGGGCTGAGGCATGGTAAAGGAATAGAAGAATTATCGTCTGGGAGGATTTATGAAGGAGAGTGGGCTGATGGAAAACGCAATGGTCAAGGAATAGAAATCAGACCGTCAGGCCGCCGGTACGAGGGGGAATGGAGAGAGGACCACAAGGATGGACACGGAATCGAGATACTTGCAGATCTGACTCGCTTCGATGGAGATTGGCAGCATGGGAAGAAACACGGCAAAGGCAAAATTACTTACCCTGACGGTAAAATGATTGATGGAGAATGGAAACACAATGACTTGGTAAAGAAACGATTTATTCACGTAAGAGAGCAATCTATCGAAGATAACGTACGTCGTGAGGCCTGGTCAAAATTCAACATACATCGGGAATCATCATCTGATAACAACAAGGTTGTGCATGAAGCAACATGGACTAATTCGATCAACGGATCCATTGCCGTATACGTCGTGCAGATCAAAGGCAGTCGATTTAGCGGTCCAGACAGTGAAGATATACGGAATCAGGTGAAAATCTTCAAGCACATCGGTCATCACAACCAGATCATTTCTTTGCTGGCAACTACCCTCGAACCTTTTTGCGGCGATGGTTGTCTTGTATTGGAACATGCACCGCTGGGATCTCTTGACAAGGTCTTGAGGAACACGCCAGAGCCGGAGGGCAGCGAAAGTATACTTTTTAAACTTGAAGCAGCAATGCAGATCACCGATGGTATGAACCATCTCTCTTTGAACGGTGTGGTGCACCGAAATCTGACCTGTGCCAGCATTCTTGTCTTCAACCTGGATATCGTTGAAAGCAAGAATCTACACATCAAAATCTGCGAGCTCGATCAGGCTGTCTGTTCTGGCGGGAAGCTGCATGGGAACACTGCCCCACTGAACACCAAGTTGAAAGTCCGTCCTCTGAGATGGATGGCACCCGAGAGTCTCCAGTATGAACAATTCTCCGAGAAAAGTGACGTCTGGGCGTTCGGGGTGACCATGTGGGAGATTCTTAGCTGGGCAAGTGCTCCATTCAGCCACATCGTAGACGACGCTGAGGTTGAAAGGAGAGTGCTGGCTGGCGAGCGACTGCTGATGCCTTCGAGTTCACATCCTGGTACCTTCGAGATCGCGCAGGAATGCTGGAAGGATGCGAAAGCAGAGAGGCCCTCGTTTCGAGAGATCAGCCGAAAGCTTCGCGGGCAGCATGAAGAAATTCTCTCCAAGGCCTCTGACAAGATGTGTGTGATCTGCTTGGAGTATCCAGCCGACTGGGCTTTGATTCCCTGTGGGCATAAATGCTTGTGTGAAACGTGCAGCAAGGAGCTTTTCAAGTCAGAGCAGCCATGCCCGCTGTGCCGTGAGAAAGCGACTAGAACCATTAAAATCTTCTGAACTTCCAACCATGAGGCTCTGAGCCGCAGTTGATGGCTGTGACGATGACTAGCATGTGAGTTCCGAGCTAGGCTCAAACACGGGCCGCGATCTGACCGGTAGACGGTGGCCCCGCGGCACTGCAGGCCGGCCCGGCCGCCGTGCAGTGCCGCGGGGCCACCGTGGCCGTGGCCGGCCCTCAGGGCCCCCGTCCCTCACTGCCGCTCTGTCCGACGGTCACCGTCACCGGGTCAAGCCTGTCCGAGTTCAACGGTTCCCTCAGGGCTCAGTGACTTTGGATTGAGACCGGAGCCTGTATGGGGGAAAGGCCTTGTCAAAACTACAGAGGGGAATGAAGGGGAGTAGTAGATGCGACGACCGTTACAGCGATGTGAAGCAGGCGGCGATGAGAGTCAGGCGTCCAAGGGCGATGATAGAGAGACTGAGATAGGGCATCAGCCTGAAGGAGGTGCTGTGAGAAGATCGAGGGAGAGAGGGGAGGAGCGCAAGCCCCATTTCTGAATGACTGGACCCTGTCGTGCAGACTTTCCATGCTGAAGAGCAAAAAGACCCATGAGGTCGACATGCAGGAAAAGCTCGAAAGCCTTGAGAGGTGGGAGCTACTGATAGGAGCTGTGGAGACGCTTGACGGCGATCATCTGCAGGAAGGTGGATGACATTGCAAGCAAGCATCTGCTGATGATGGATATGATGCAAGAGGTGCAGTCTTGTTGTTCAAACTGACACAATACATGATGCAATGATTCTCAGATGATGAAGGTGATAGAAAGAATAGATAGAGACACGAAGAGCATGATGAAGCAGGTGGGTTTTGTTGCATCGGCCTCCCTGGGCCTGCAGCTCTTACATCTTGGCATCATCTCAGTCCGCGGAGGCCTCGGAATTGAAGTCAGAAAGAGACTCCTTGCTGCATCGAGTGTCAGAGCTCGACGGTAAGAGTGTTGCGGTTTGACACGCTCGTCAAGTGCCAAGCAGAGGAGCTGCAGCTGGTCAAAGACATGCGAGAGCTAAAAAGAAGGGACGAGGTCTTGGCTACGGTGATAAATCGGCTCAGGGGAAGGTCGGAGGGTCAGACTGACGTTGGCGCAGGTCGACGAAGACCCTGCCAAGTCTCCTGCCGACACCAAGGATGCGGAGATAAGCATGCGAGATATGAGAGCGACATTGCTGCAGGCACATGCCTCGTGGACTTGAGCTGCGATGTTAAGCATGTGTAGGTCAAGCGAGAGAACGTCGCTAAGACGACTCAAGTGAAAGCTCTCGAGATGCTGCTGGCGGTGACGGAGCCTTGTTGACAAGCTCAGCGTGCTTGCTGATATGACGAGCAGGCAAAGTTGAGGGACGAGATCGTTGCTGCTGACCGGTCGGAGGCGACTGCTTTTGCTCTGTCCCCTTCCATTCCATTCGCCTTTTTGAGCTTGAACGACTCGCACGAAAGGGGGAAAGAGAATTTATCCGCTGCTTCCTCTTCCGAGAACTTCGCATGGAAGATGTAAAGGACTTGTCTGTCTGGGAGGATAGGAACCTTACGACACAATGCAGCCCAGCAAATCCCTTCCCTTCACACCAGGCCAACGCCATGCTACAGGACGGGCTGAGTCATATGCGACAGTCAGCTTCTAGCCTCTTCTCCACCATCCCGCTGCTCAACACTGCAGGCGAGTCGTAAAGTCACCAGCCCACCCGCTCACTGGTTGCATTTAGGAGCAGAGCATGCAGAAAAGACCCAGGTGCAACAAGCTGCCCAGCAGGCAGAGGAGCAAGACGACCAGTCTCCGTCCAAGAAGACGATGCGTGAGATTCGATGAATTTTCTTCTCGGTGTAAGACTTAAAGGCAAATCTACAGAGGATAGGAAAGTTCGGTTTGAAAGCAGCGCCCAAGAACAAGGTCTGATCTGCCGCCTTCGTATTTGTCTCCTGAAGCAACGAGCAAGCAACAGGTTCAAATTCAGCGGAGGAGGAGAGCGCTAAGGCTGTGGAGGAGGCGCTTGCGCCTAAGGCGTCGCTTCCTTCTGTGGAAGTTTGACATGACAGCCCATTTCAAGCCGACCAGGAGGCAAGCGAGCGGGGGAACAAGCGGGCTGCGCTAGTAAGGATTGTAGGCTGATGCATACTTCCTGCTGCCCTCGGCAGTATCGTAAAGTCCAGGAGGCGCCTGCATGTGCTACAGAAACTCTAAGCAACGAGACTGAACGATGGGGGAGGGAGGAATGGGTTCACCAGAGGAGAGGGGAGAAGCAAGTGAACTCACCCCCTCGCCCGGGTATGGCTGACGAGCATCAAAGCTCCCGCCAGGAAGAGGCTGTGCATATCCCCCGTAAGGATCGGGGGGACTGAAACCTCTGCCGGGTATATTGTCGTCTACTCGCGGTTTACGAGGAGGCGATCGGTACTTGCCGTTAAGAATCGCAAGATCCCGCAGCTGGAGGGCAAACAGTGAGAAGAGGCTGAGCAAGAGGAGAGCCAAGAGGCGATCACGAGGACGCACCTGCTGCTGCTTGATCTTGTCGCTTCCTTCCGATGACGGAGGGATCATAACCTGCCCTACATCAGCCTCGGAAGAGGAGCACAAACGCTGTTTACCTCCTTCAAGATGTTCTCCGCATGGCGCAGAGTTCGATCTTTCGCCCACGACGGCCCCTTGACAGGCGGCCGTCAGCTCAAATGGAGAGGTTGAAACCATACACACCTCGTACTCGACAACAACATGCTGGGTAACCGAGTACAGACGAAGACAAGGTGTCAAGTCCTTCTCCACATGATGTTCCATGGCTCACCAGGGGCTCACTGAGATGCTGGTAGTTCGCCTGTCGCATCAGCGAAGCTTCTGTCTGCCCGGGCTGCCCGCTGGTCATTCTCCGCCTCCAGCTCCTCCTGAGCTTCACCTTCAGCTTGATAGAGCCGCGCCCTCGGATGGTCATCTTGCACCCGCTGCTCGCCTGTTCCTCCAGTCAGACAGTTGTGCTCTTCTCCTCGTCCAACCCTCGTCCATCCCCAGCCCCTCCGGCCACCTCCTCTCCACCTTAATCACTCTGACCTGTAACTCTACAAAAGTGCTTCCACGCGGTCCCAGCAGACGGCCAACAAAGTTGAATCCTGAAGGAGGCTGAGTGACCCTCTCCCCTCGCCCTCATTCAAGACCAGGATATCGATCGACGGGAACAAAGATCTTTATCATGGTCTGCATGCACGCAACAGTCATCTTCGGAGGAGCCCAGGAAAAATCGCAACCTTGCAGTTTCCGTCTGACTTCTCTAGGTGATCGACGAGGACCGTATCAATCCCGTCAGACGACGAAGGCTTCCAGTCTGCCACCATCAACAAGTCAACACCACTCCCTCGCTGACGATGAGAAGTCCTAAGTAGAGAGGGGGAATGAAGACGAGGATTCCTTACCACTTGAGCGCTGATCTTTGCCTTGCATGCCGGTGTATCTGGTGAAAGGTTCACAATCAAGTCCGTCTCCTTCACACACTTCACATATTTTGGTAGGACTGCTCTGGGGTCATTCCCCGGTTACTCCTGCAGTATAGCTCCAAGTCAACAATGACACTCAAACCATCCATCCGAGCTTCAAAGCACGAGGATCGAGAGGACCGTACAGCACCTGGTCTCTTCCAGCATAAAAGGCTGGGGAAAAGAAGAGATTATTGAGCATTCAACACGGTGACATTTCACAGACCCCTCTTGAAGGTCGCATGGCCCCTGGATCCTCCCTCATAACCTTCAGTGCCTGTGTCAGTCACCGGGCCCGGAAAGGGAACACCCGGCAGATCACCGGCGGTGCCATCTCCTGGTTCCGAAGGAACTCGATCTCTCGCTGCCAGCACTCTAGGATCAGGGAACGAGATGCATCGCTCGCAGGAGAGCGGTGCTGACCTGTAACAGGAAGGCACAGTTTGGAAGCATCGACTGCAAGGGTACCATCTTCATCTGCTCGCATGAGTGACCTGCAGGGCTCTCCCCTCCATCTCTAACCTGCTCGTCCAGCAGGTCCTTCAGGTTGCCCGTATAAACGAACCCTTGTCGTCGGTTATCGAACATTGCCGCAGGCTCAGGGTACTGGCAGAGGCAGGAGGTCAACCAAGAACCTGTCGGCGGCAAACGGCTTACAGGATCCACCCTTCTTCGCTTCCCAAAGTTCCCATAGCCCTGCGGCGAAAGCTTCATCCCACAGAGACGGTCGGTGCCCGACGTACCCGGAAGCCGTCGTCGGCAAACTGATACTCATTCATGTCATCAAAATAACCCTGCCAGCTCATATCAATCCATCGCTGCGGAGGACTGCGCCGAGAGCGCTCTGAACCTGGTGGTAGTTGTTCAACGGATGCCCATCGGACATCAAGATGGAGGAAGGTTTATCGACAGGCACTGTGCAGAAGATGTCAACACGACTACCTGAACCTCATCTGGTCCGTGAATCCCAACAGAGCGAGGCGATACATCCCATCTCCCCAGGTACGGGAGCGGCTAAGATCAGGGATGATCCGCAGGTGCTAGAGCACAGCAACAGCCGTTTCTCTACCAGCCTAAATACGACAAGCTTCTTCCTTGCAACTCGTAAGAGGTTTCAAGCCACCAGTATCATGGCAACTCCACACAAGAGGAACACTCTGAGACGTCAGCTACATTGGTAGAGAACCAGGAGATGACACAGATCAAACAGTACTTCCACACAGAATACAGATCAAACAGCACATACGCACAGAAAACAACATCTTGACCATTCTCTTCCCCCTCGTCTCTCGTCTCCTCGTTCGTCGCCATGACGACCTCCCCTCGTCCTCGCTCAAAACCCCATCCACCATCGCTCGTCTTGAGGGGGTTATCACTCTACAGGTTCCTAGGACCCTGATACAATACTTGAAGTGTTGGGGGATGAGGGGGGATACGTCTGTGGTCACTAGTGGTGATGAGGGCTTCAATCCCCGGCTAGTCCAGTCCCGAACGCGACGGGCCCAACTGCCGGGCAAGAGGGGGGTATAATTAAATTAGTTAAGTTACCACCCTTGTGGTACAATCTACCCCCACCCCCCAATATTTCCTAATTTAATAGTTTACTCTATATTTTATTTACCAACAATTATTTACCTCAGTACCATTGCAATTACCCACCCCACCCCCCTGATTGTTTACTCAATTTTTTTTTTACCCGCGTGCAGGCGCCCCACGAGCCACCCCCGCAATGTCGGATCCCCACTGACTTCCGCATGCGATGCGCTGTGTATGCTGCAAGCTTGGAAGCATTCTACCTGCTTCTCGATGAGATATTCCTGTCCCTTGACTCTTTGTAGCTTCTTTGGGTCTCTTTCTGTGTGCTGCAGTGCAAGTTTGCCTTGGAATCAGCTTCAGGCACTACGCAGATGATTTCTCAGCAAGGACAAGTTTTCGCGCTCACATGCATCGAAACACTATCACAAGAGATCTTTTCAGATGTTTCCTGATGATATAGTTTTCTCTGTGTGATGAAAAGTATCGTTTTTGTATGTCTCGTTTTGCCACATGTGAAATCTGACGCCTCTCGTACAATCCACATGCCTCGTCATTTCCTTATGCCTCATATGAAATTTTCTATGAGCGCACAGCTTGATGAGCTATCAGGAGGACGAAAGCTCTGTTTGTAAAGAGTCAAGTAGCGTATCTCATGTACAATGTAACATGCTGAATGTAACATGTTGGAATGTTCTCTTTCGAAGCGTCAAAATCGCAAACAGGGCACAATGATCCTGTCACAATTTCATATTGAGGAAAAGGGAACTCAATAGATTTCTATTCATGTTTGCGTGTGTCTTTAGGTCAATGTTTCATCCCTGGAATCTAACCATCATTATGTCTGTTCGAGTGCTTTGTGCTTTTCGCTTACCGAACCACCGTTTCAATCTGACTTTTCATGGTTGGTTGACTGACTGTTGGCTTCTTCAGAATGTTCACAGCGAGAAAGAAAATTGTCAAAGAGGGCGATGCGCAGCCTGACTCCTTCGAGGAGCAGGTTGCGCAGGCAATTTTCGACCTTCAGGTCCAGACCGACATGAAGAGCGACTTGCAGGACCTCTTCATCACCTCCGCCAAGGAGGTCGAGGTCTCTAACGGACGCAAGGCCATCATCATCCATGGTACTTTTGGATATCCTTGCTGTCTGTGGGAACTTGACGCTGCCGTTCAGTGCCCTTCCGTCTCTTGAAGAGCTTCCACAGGATCCAGCAGCGTCTCATCCGCGAGCTCGAGAAGAAGTTCTCTGGCAAGCATGTGACCGTTATTGCCCAACGCCGTATTCTTCCTCGTGAGGTGATGAGATGAAGGATTCCTAATTGTCCTTGTCCACTGATTGCTATCCCGCAGGGCCGCAAGAACCGCACCCAGAAGCAGAAGCGCCCCTTCAGCCGCACCCTCACCTCTGTGCATGAGGTATTTCCTCACTTTCCTGGACGTGGTTTCTGATACGAGTCGCCTTTCAGTGCACCCTTGAGGATCTTGTTTACCCTACTGAGATTGTAGGAAAGCGCACCCGTGTTCGCATGGACGGATCTAAGCTTCTCAAGGTTTGTAAATGCCACTGGTTTGGTCATGTTCGCTAATGGTCTTTTTCAGGTGTACTTGGACCCTAAGGATAAGAACAATGTCGAGCACAAACTAGAGACTTTCGAGAAGGTTTACAAGAAGCTCACTGGAAGAGATGCTGTATTCGAGTTTCCTGTGAATTCTTCAGAGTAAGCATGCAATATAATTAAAGTTTTCAAGTCGGGGGAAAAAAGGACAAAAAATCGGAGCTATTGTGATATTGTTTGTTCGTTTTGGCTTGTTCTGAAATACATCATTGCTTGTCAACGTGTTATTCTTTTCTGAAACTAGAAACCCGGCGTCTACAACAGCCACGTTTCCTGAAGCCTAGGCTGTGACTCCGGCGTGGCCGAGTCATCGGACTCTCGATGATGATGCCACGACGGTGAGATGACGCCCGCCGGGCAGTGGTCCGATCCGACCGGGTATACTTTGCCTAGTACTGCGGCGGCCTCTCGGACGCCGGGCCGCGGCTTGACTCTGTGACGGCGGCCCGGGCCACGGTATACTACGGCGGACCTCATACCGGGTTACTGGTACCGTACTGAGTGCGGGCCGGGCCGCGCCGCGGCCCGGCTCAACTTGACTTGAGGCTCCGAAGGCTCAGCTGTCAGTGACTGAGTCGGGACGGTCCGATCAGTTATATATTATATGTGTGTGTGTGTATGACTGATAGTTGTATTTTATATACGAGGATTCAGATATATTTTAGATTTTAAAGTTTGTACCAAGCCTGTCTACAGCCCTCCTCAATCCTGGCCCTCAGATTCAAAAGTTGAAAATGAAGTCTTTAAGTTGAACAGAAATCATGATATTTGAAATTATAAGCAGGAAAACAACCAACCCTGATCAACTGCACCCCACCCTGCATGAGAGAGGGGCAACCCTGAGCAGGATTCCCTGCCACTGCAGATAAAGATATCCCCTATTCAAGGTGCTCATTTTTATAATTGAAGTGAAGGTTCTGATCGTTATCCCCCATGAGTTGCATGCCAACCCCCTCCACCTCCTCCCTGTACTTGCCTGCCATACCCTTCAAACAAAGGTTTGTTTCCCGAAGTACCCTACTATCCAGTACCCTCTCTCAGTCGAGTACCCTACCCACTCATGTTCACTTCGTTCAAGGCTGGGCCCCCCACCGCTTACTACTCACTTGTTTCAATAAGTGATTCTCAATAGAAAACACTCTATGACAATACTGACAGAGTTTGAAAAGCACCCTACCCTTCTGTATAGATGCATACCAACCCCCCAAATTGAAAACTACCCCACCCATCTAAATTCAAAATCAACACCGCATTTCAAAGGACCCACCCTGGTATCCTCGAGGAAATAACTAGGCACAACCGGTGCTTCAACACCCCTCCACCCCTCCACCCCCTCAGGACTTCCTCTTTCATCAATATAACCCCTCCCTTCAATTACCCCTCCAGTCACGGCACCGCAATCCAATACCCACTGTTGACGAACTCCACCGGGTCATCTCTGTACCCTACCATAGGTGCTGTGGTATTTGACCCGGTCTGATTCCACACTTCTTATCGGTGTAGACCCACCGGTTATCACCCCCACCTCTACATTTTGTACCCCTACCTCGGTAATTAGGTACCCACCCCCCTTTACTGCGCAGCCTGCCGCTCTCGCCGCGCCATGCGCTCTTTCCCGTTCAACCGCGTCTCCTCGCTGAGTTGCCTCATTTGAGCATGCATTTATCTGCATGCTTCGTTCTTAGCCTATCCTCAAATTTCTCAGAAGTTAGCGGACTAAACGCATGCCATCTCTCCCTGCATCTGCTCGAAAACATTGGCTTATGGTTATCACAGACAGGAAATTTAGCGTTCTCTTGGATGTACGTGTAGATCAGAATGGTCTCGGTTGTTCTGTATCGTTTTGGTCTTATTTGAGATATTCTTGGTGGACATTCTGTGACATCGTCTGTTTCTGTGTGTTCATGGAATTGAACCCCGGGGTGTTACAGAAACAGTTCTTGCCCGTACCAATGCCTGTCATCTCCTTCCTGAATTTTGTGTTTGTAGACGTGACCCCGAACATGATATGTGATGATGTGTATTTCAATGCCTTTTCATTCTGTTCTTTTGGTGTCTACAACCATTACCGTCACAGATCTTTTTGTCTTTCAGTCTTGAGTGGCAAGATCTCTTGTTGCTGCGACCTAGACCACAATTTCTGTTGTAGCTTAGGAATACTGACTAGGTTTGATCCGAGCATTCGATTGAATGCTTATTTTCCCTGATCATGCATGAAAGATAATTGAACTGGCTGTTACAGGGTACCTTCGGGCTCTATCTACAAGTCTCAGACGGTATGTGAAGTAGTTTAAGTCGTCTAGTCTCTAATCCAGCACGCAGAGTCACTGCATATAACCTTCCGGCAGCATGGCGGGAGGGGTGGATGCTTTTGCGCTGCTGGTTGAGGAACTCAAGAGCGAAGATGTCATTGATCAAGTCAACGCTGCGAAAAGAGTCAACACTATTGCTCTGGCCATGGGACCGGATCGTGCAAGAAGCCAGTTGTTACCATTCCTCAGGCAGTGTGTTGATGATTACACCGACGAGATTCTGCTTGCTATTGCGGAATCTGCTGGAACTTTGGTGGCTGCTCTCGGAGGAAACGAGTATGCCCACACGCTGATACCTTTGCTGGAATCACTTGCAGAGAAGGAAGAGACGATTGTTCGTCAAAAGGCGGTTGAGTCTCTGGTGTTGATTGGCAAATCTATGCCAGCACAGAATATTCAGAACGAATTCAAGGAATTGATGAAGCGCCTGTCATCTGGTGACTTCTTTCCCTCGAGAATTTCTTCCACTGGCTTGTTTGCAACTTTGTATCCTTCGACTCCTGCAGCTATGCGACCTGCCCTCAGGAAGCAGTATGAAGCATTGGCCAAGGATGAGATGCCAATGGTTCGAAGCGCAGCATTCCAGCACATGCCGAAATTTGTTGCTGTCCTTGAGAAAGATGTCATTATTTCAGAATAGCTCCCTTGTTCAACGAACTGTCAAATGACATGCAAGAATCTGTCCGAGAAATTGCTATGGAAAACATGGTTGAAATAGTGAAATTTCTTTCTCCAGAAGAGGCTTCCCGGCTCTTTGGACAATTCTTCGACAATGTCCAAAATGAGAAGTGTAGCCTCATGAGGGTAAACAAAGCGAAACACTTTGTACAGCTTGTGTCAGCTATGCATCCAAACAGGCCTATCCGTGATCAAGTTCCTGCTTTCATTCATCTTCTTGCATCAGATCCAGAGTTTGAAGTAAGGAACGCAGCAGCAAGCAACATTGGAACATTTTGTGAAAAATTGGACAGTGCAACTGTTCTGAACCAAATTTTGCCCGTTTTGAAAGACTTGTCACAGCCCGATGATCAGCCTGTTGTACAAGGCTCTACTTCACCTACTCAGCAGGTTTGCATGACGCAGTATTCTAGCTGCTTGCTCGCATTGAACAGTGTTTTTCAGGTTCGGGAGCACATTGCAGAGAACGCCTGCTCGATTTCGTCTGTGATTGGACGGGATCCAACAATATCGACTTTGTTGCCTTTGTTGAAATTGTTTCTGGGAGACGAACAAATTGAGATCAAAAGAAAGGTATGCAGGACTTGCTGTGAATCATTTTGATGTCTCTGATATGCATCTTCATTCAGGTGCTCCGCACTGTCGCACCACTTGTTGAAACGCTAGGAGCTGATGCTTGTGACCAACACTTTATTCCTGAAGTTCTTAAGATGGCTCAGGACGTTCAGTGGCGCGTTCGCCTTGCAGGTGCAGTAATGTAATGCAGCTGATTCAGAGCTAATCATGAGACATCCAGTCGTTGAAACATTACCTGTCTACGCAAAGCATCTTGGCATGGAACTATTCAACACACGGTTCAAGGATATTCAGGTGAACTTGTACCGGCAGTTGATCTTCAGTATCTGAGTTCAGAGACAGACACGCGCACTGTCCGACTCATTTGCATACGTTCGCGAGAGGGCTATCAAGAATTTAGGTGTTATCAATCTATGACTCAGATGGCCTTATGTTGACCTTCGGTGTAGAGGACCTTTGCTCATGTTTCGGAGACTCCTGGATACAGGAGGAGGTATAAGTTTTTATATTTTATAATGATTGGATTTTGAGCATGATTCTATCAAAAGATGCTTCCTTCAATCGAAGAAGCCTCAAAGGGATCAGGACCAGCTTCGTATATTGGAAGGATCACGGTATGCCTCAAATTATTCTTGCGGTCCTCGAACTAATCTGCAAGCAGTCCCTGCACGCCGTTGGTCAGCTAGCTGGGGTGATTCCAAGCTCTACACTTACAGATAGACTTATTCAGCAGGTATCAAGCACGGGGAAGCGGATGACGGTTGCTGAACTTTCTTTAGATCGCGATCCCGCTCGCCAGAGATAAGGTCACCAATGTAAGAATTGCTGCGGCTGATGCACTCAAGAAAGTAAGTAATATCGCTCGCGGTGATTTCTGAGGGTTGGAATGATTTTATTCTTTTGCTGTCCTGGTGATTTCTTATATTCATCACTAATTTCATTTTTTTTCTATGTTTCGCTTTGTGACTTGATGTTCAGTGTGCGGAGAAGTTGACCGGGGAAAATCCAGCTTTCGTTCGAGACAGCATTCGACCGGTGCGGATTCGTATTTCTTTAAAGAAGCACAACTAAATGTTTGACAGGTGCTGGTTGATCTTTCGCAGGATTCCGACGTCGATGTTAAATATTTGGCGCAATCAGCCTTGGCGTGAGCTGATCTTCTCGACCATTTTTTTCAAAACTGGGATAATGAAAGTTTCTTTCTAATGAAAGAAAGTCTAGTTTCATCTGCTACTCTTTTATCTTGTCACTTTCTCCTATCGCACTCCCAGTCACTCGGTCGGAACTTCAACCGAACTCACTCAGTGAGCGGCCCGGCACTGGCACCGGGTAGCGGGCCCGGGCCCAAGGACTCAGCCGTGGTGATGCCTCATTTCGTTACAGAACCGTTACCTGTTTGTCAAAGTTTCATGGCTGTTCGACAAAGAGCGGTGAAGTCATAGCGAGATGGCGAGCAAGGCTGTGAGGAAGAAGGGAGGAGACGAGAACACAAGGGGGAGAGATGAAGAGAGCGAGGAGCAGGAGAGAAGGAGACGGCGAGAGATGGAGCTACGACAAGACGTCGAGTGATACTTCTGCCTGTTCCGAACTCTATCTGGATAATCTGAGCATGCCATGATGGACAGACAGACGGGGAGAATGAAGCGATCTCACCCCTGCATCCCCTTGCTTCTTGGACTCATCTATCTTTCCCCTCTAGTAACAACACAGGAACTCTCCTCAACTCCCTCCACTTTCTTTGCCACCATCCACTCAAGTTCCAGCTCCACGGCGGTCAACGAAATGACGAGTACACCAGCACCAAGTGTTGAATCGACCATGCATTCCAGCTCTAGCTCTACTCCCATCAGCGTCCTCGGGTCAACCCCGTCTCCTCTGCATACAAGCACCTCGATGATGGGTTCCAGCTCCAGCTCCACTCCGCTGTTGGAGTTCACAACCACAGCAGAGATCCAGTCAAGCTCTTCAAGCGCTACAGTCCCTCTGACAACTCCTGTCGTCTTTCCCTCAGTGCCGTGCAACGTCACCTTCGAAAGCATCTGCGCATGCAAGTGGCTCTATGTGCGAGTGGGGTCTCAGTGCGTGCAGGGAGATGGGCTGTATGTGAGAGTGTCTGACAGCTTCATTGACGACCCACTCGACCAGAGGATGAGCTGGGTGCTCAAGACCGGGAACTTCAAGATATCACACGACCGCTTCTTCTGGAAAATCAGAAATGGCGACCAAGGAAGGTGCCTGGTCTCGTTCGACAAGTCCGAAAATCCTCCGAGCATCAATGATGAATCGTGGTATTGCTCTAATGACTGCAACCCGACAAGCGAGGCTGTGTTTCAGGGAGCCAGCCCGTTGAAAGGCGTCAAGATTGAATGCCTCGCTACACCCCAGGAATACAACTTCACCACAGGAGTGCAAGACATCTGGTCAGTCGGCTTCAACTTCTACGGAGAGCTCGCGAGGCTTGAAGGGAAGGGAGGGGTTGATGGAGTAGAGACTCTCGGCGTCATACAGGTACAGCCCTCCAACTCTCGAGCGCTTGAAAGTGTGACTGACGTGCGTTTCCAGGCTCTCAATCAAGAAAAGGTCGAGCAGCTTTCTCTGGGTTGCAACCATGGCGCCGCAAGAACGTCGTCCGGGAAGCTTTGGACGTGGGGTTCCAATGCTCAGGGGCAGCTGGGCTATTCTTCAGCTGCGGGGTTTGCGGTAGCAAATGCCATACCTCAGGTTGTGAGTCAGGCAGAGAGAGTGTCGGAGGTAAGAGCAGGAGGCTCTTTCACCCTTTTCTTCATGGGAGATAAGGGCTCCCGGGGGTTGTTCGGCATGGGGTCGAACAGATATGGCCAGCTCGCAAGGGAGGAAGGGTTCGCAACCGACTCAATCTTAGAGACCCCGCAGCAGGTTCCGGTCGATGCTAGCAACGTCACCGCCATTGCTGCGGGCAGGCATCACGTCCTGCTTCTCAACAGCTCTGGCCTGTTCTCGTGGGGACACAACGAGTACGGGCAGCTGGGTCGATCGGAGGGGATCGGCACGACAGAAGCAGGAGACTACCGCATCGTCAAGGTCAGTGCCTCTCAGTTCGAGGGGAAGCGAATCGCCTCAATCGCGGCTGGGAGGTATCACTCTCTCGCTCTCACCGAGGACGGCGACGTCTACTGCTTCGGGTCAAACTTTCGCGGCCAGTGCGGGCCCGCAAGTCCGGATGGCAGCAGCCAGCCGATCTTGAATGACGCCAACCCGACCCCGAAGAAAATCCCCAGGAGTCTCCTCGGTAACGAGGCAGCTAGCTGGGTTGCAGCTGGGCAGTACGCCACCTTCGTAGTGATGCAGAGTGGAAAGCTCTGGGGATTCGGGCGAAATTTCCATGGGCTGTTGACAGGGGCGGCGGGGCAGGTGGGGACAGGGGTACCAGTGTCAGTACCGTTCCTGCTGTCCGACCAGCTCGAGACGAGTCTGGGAGGCTCTGGGAAGGTGCTGAAGCTTGTGAGCGGCAAAGATCATGCGATCCTCATGGTCGAGCGAGACAACCAGACCGACCCCGAGCTGCTCGTGGTCGGGTCGAACGGCTACGGGCAGCTGGACGGTGTGGTGGGGAAGGGAGATGACAGCCTCGTCTTCAGGAAGCTGGGAGGGGTTCTGACAACCTGCGCAGGGCAGGGGCCCCTGTCAAGGAATGGCACGTGCAAGAGCGGGAGGATGAAGATCATGGACGTGGGCGTGGGATGTGACCAGACCATGATAGTCACTGAAAGGCCCGAATGTCCTCCCGGGACTTACTCACCTACCAACAAGCAGCCCTGCTTCCTCTGCCCTCCCGGCAAGTACCAGGATGGACTTCTGTCCTCCACATCCTCCTGCACCCTCTGCTCTCAGGGCAAGTTCTCGCCAGAAGGGTCGACGACGTGCACAGTGTGTCCAGCAGGGACGAACACATCAGGCGAGGGCTCAGCTGAGGACGGATGCCTTCAGCTCTGTCCCGCGGGAACCTACGGGGTCCAACAGGCGATCGGACGAATCGGACTTGCTCCCTGCCGAGCATGCGACGTCAGCCACTACAACGAGCAAGTCGGAGCGACGGCTTGCAAGCTCTGCCCTGCTCTCACCGACTGCCTCGTGCAGGGAGCGACAAGCGTGTCGTCGTGCCGACCCTTTTGCAACGAAGGATCCTTCAGTCCCGATGGGTTGACCCCAGCTGGAGGAGCTTGTCAACCTTGCTCAGCTGGGTCCTTCCAGCCGGCGAAGCGCCAGACCACCTGCCTTCTCTGCTCGCCAGGTTTCAAGTCTCAGGGGGTGGGTGCGACTGTCTGCTCCAGCTGCGCAGCAGGAAGTTACCAGAACGGAGCTGGAAAAACATATTGTGAGAGTTGTGCCCTTGGCTTGTACCAGGAGCTCCTGAACTCGACGGCTTGCCAGCGCTGCCCGCTGGGGAGCAGCACGACAGCCATCGGGGCGTCGAGAGCGGAGCAATGCGTCCTGAGCTCGTCTCAGTGGTGGAGCTTCGGGGTAAACAAGTTTAACAACACTGACCCGGGTGTATACACGAAGGAGGTACAGGAGATCGTCTTTCCTCCTGCCCTGGTCGCCAACGATGTTTCAAACCTGGGGAGCAAGTTCGGGAACAGGAGGGTAACAGAAGTGGCAGCTGGTAGCTCGCATACTCTCTTCCTCACCGACGACGATCGACTCTACGGCATTGGCGACAACTTCTACGGTCAGCTCGGGTCGAGCAGCGGGATGCAGCCCAGCTGCTACGAGCCTGGCCCGCTGCTGCCAGCGTGCGATCCCATGATAGCGAGGAAGCAAGAGATCGTGGAGCTGGAGAGATCGCTGTTCGGGCCCGACCCGATCAGCAAGATCTTTGCGGGCAGGTGAGGAGGAGGAGGAGGAGGAGGAGAGAGGGGAGGGAGAGGCGAAGTGGGAGGGGCAAGGGAGGAGGAAGTGAGAGTAGTAGCTGGGGGCAGGGAGGGGGTAGGGTAGGCGGTTTGTGACCCCTCTGACCTCCTGCCTGTTAGGAGCGTGTCAGCTGTTCTCAGCTCTACGGGTCTTCTTTTCACTTTCGGTTACAACCGTTATGGACAGCTCGGGCATCAGGGTAACGTGGGGACGGATAGGCCCAACCATCTCCCACGAGCCCTCCAGCTGCCAGCCGGGGGGGTTGATGACGTAGCGATCGGGGAGAACCACATGCTAGTCAGGACCAACACCTCTAGAGTCTTCTCCTTCGGCCTGAACCGCTTCGGTCAGCTGGGCTTCTGCTCAAGTGCTGGAAGCTGGGGACCCAACGGGGCTCCTGTGGAGCTATTGCTGAACTTCAAGGTAAGCGGCATGGCGGCGGGAAGGAAGCACTCGCTGCTGCTGGCAGAGGACGGAGGCGTCTGGAGCTTCGGAAGCAACGATCGCGGTCAGCTGGGGATCTTGGAACAGCAGCTCGTGTACGGAGGATTCGTCTGCTTGCCCGCTCACGTCCCTGACGTCCCAGCTGGGAGGCAGGTGGCCGCAGGACGATCTCACAGCGTGCTAGTGAGCAAGGAGGGTCAAGTGTGGGGCTTCGGGAACAACGAGTACGGGCAGCTGACCGGCTCGCCGTCCTCTCCCGTGCTGAGCGCCGTGAGGATGTTCGAGCAGGAGACGGCCAACCTCTCCATCGTGTCGGTGGGGTCGCGAGAGATGCTCAGTTTCTCGGTGCTGTCGAGCCCCAGCACCGACGAGAGCCAAGTGGTGCTGCAAGGGAGAAACAACGCGGGCCAGTTGGACCTGCTCCCCTCCTCCTCTGCCGCCAAGAACGTCCTAAGCATCTGCCCCTTCCTCCCCTGGCAATCCTGCGATGAGTTTGCTTTCGCTACCTTGCAGTCGGGAGGCGAGAACGTCTTCCTCGAGGTATTTGAGAGCTCTTCGAGCCCCCTGCTGTCCTTACGTCCTCTTCAATCGTCGATCCACCGCTTCTCCTCCTCTCTACATCTCTTGCACTCTCTGATCTCATCACTTCATCCTCCTCTCTCACACCAATCGCGTTGCTCCCATCGCTCCCTTGCATTGACGTCTTCTCGACGTAGGTCATCTCCAAACGATGTCGCCCTGGCACTAAGACCGCCGTTACCCCCAACGTCACGGGCCACGTGCTCCTTTGTGACGCGTGCGAGGCGGGTAAGTCCCATCCTCCTCCTCTCACGACCTCAGCTCTCCCGCCAGGCAAGTTTTCTACCCAGCTAGGAGTGACCGCTTGCTCCATCTGCCCCGAGGGCACCTACTCAGCAACGGGAGCAACCTCGTGCGAAGCTTGTCAGGTCCTCCAGTATGCAGGAACCGGCGCCTCTGCCTGCCTCGAGTGCCCGATCAATCCCTCCTCCTCCAGCGATCCGGCCCTCTCCTCCCCCAGCCAGGTTGCTCTCCTCGTCATCCTCATCCTTTGACTTTCCTCGCAGCTCGCTCGCTGCTGCCGTCCAGGTCGCTACCTCAAGGACGGTGGCCTCTCCTGCGCCCCCTGCCCCAACGGCAACATCTCCACCTCAATCGGGTCCACCGCCTGCTCCTACTGTGAGCTGGGAAAGTACGCTAATGGCCCCGACAATACCGCCTGCCTCGACTGCCCCCCGGACACCTGGACCCTTCCTGGAGGAGCTGGGGGCGTTCAGGACTGCAAGGCATACTGCCAGCCAGGGACAGCAAGTCTGAACCAACAGGGTATAGAGCCTTGCATCGACTGCCCCCAGGGAAAATTCACCAACTCTACGAGGCAGACCACGTGCCTTACCTGCCCTTCTGGCTTCTACACCCCCGGCAACGCCTCCACCTTCTGCTCCAGCGCCTGCCCAGCTGGTTACTACAGCAGCACTGGTCTACATCCTTGCACGCCTTGCCCGGCCGGATCCTTCACCTTCCAGCCGGCAAGCAGGAGCTGTCAACCCTGCCCTCCCGGCAACTTCTCCAGCTTGCAGGCGTCGAGCACGTGCCGTGCTTGTGCCCTCGGCTACTTCCAGAGCCTCTCGGACAGCACAAGCTGCTCCCCGTGCTCTCCAGGCACCTTCGGGAACCAGCTCGGGCAGTCAGCCTGCCTCGCTTGTCCCGGGGGGAAGTACCAGGACGAGCATGCGGCCAAGAGCTGTAAGACATGCGATCCGGGCCAGGCCCCCTCCTCCCCGACTGAGAGCACCAGCTGCTTCTCCTGCCCTGCTGGCTCTGAGTCTCCGGTCGGAGTCAATTGCTCCACCTGTCCTCCAGGATCGTATGCGCTCTCTTCGTCGTCGAGCTGTCAGCTGTGCGTCAGAGGACAGTACAACCCGTACTTCGGCTCCTCCTCCTGCACTTCCTGCTTGTCGGGGACAACCGTGTCCGAAGGGTCTGTATCGCCCGAGCAGTGCGTCGGGTTCATCTCGAAGAAGCTCTTGGTCGACGACCCCAGAGCCGGTCAAGTTTCCTCTCTCCTCATCTCGTTCTCCCTTCACTTCCATTTGCAACGCGGGTCGGAGATCCGCGTCGGCCTCCCCAACTTCATCTATGCCGGACAGAACGTCCAGCTGACAGCCAGCACGCCGGAGCTCCAGAACGTCTCCCTAGCCGGCAGCTGGAGACAAGCCGATGCTACGATCCCCTACAACCTGCTGATCCTGACCCTCACATCCGATCGTGAGATCCCAAGAAATACTAGCATTCAGGTGAGACTGAGCTAGACTCTCTTCTGAACTGACTCGACTGTGCAGGTTTATGTGCCATCCTCTACTGGTGTCAAACTTCCCCTGTTGGGCCTGCAAGCTTGCCCTACGTTCTCGGTGAGCTGTGCGATGCTGGTGCTGGGCTCATAGTTGGGCAGGCCTCTCAGTGCCTATCCATCCAGCTGAAGGAGGCAACCGGCCTCCTGGTTGGTCCAGCTGCCTTTCAGGTTGTGAGTGCGTACTTGCTCTGATCTCAGCTGACACTCCTCAGCCTGAGGAGTATCCCCTCATCGGATCCTTCGCTAACTCTCCCACCATGATGTGGAGCGTGAGCACCGCCCAGTTCATCCTGTCGGGCACGTTTGTCATGCCCCTCGAGATCGGGGAGAGCCTTCAGTTTCACCTTCCCTGCTTCGTGGCCAACTGTTCCGTCCTCCAGGTCAAGGTAAGGACATGAGCTTCCGCTGCGACCCCCACCTGAGATTCTGCTCAGTCCTCCCCCTGCAACCTCTTCGGAGACCGGGGGAGCTGGAGCCAAGGACTCTCCCTCTTCAACGTTTCCTTCCAAGGTGAAGGAGTGGGAGGGATGGCGGTCCGAGTTACTCGTGAGCAGGGGGAGGCAGACTGTCGGACCCTGGCGGATGCGCCACCGAAGGTCCGTTCCTCGACGGCAATCAAAAGTTCTCGCTCGTCGTCAGCGGCCTCACGTTTCAGAGGACTGCTTGCCAATTGCAGGTGAAGATGACTTCCCTTCCCAGCTATTCTGTTCACCCGCAAAGTTGCAGCAAACCATCATGATCTCGACTTCTGCTGTGGCTGGCCCGATACTTCCTATCAATATTTCCAAGATCTGCCGGTAAGTCGGAAGTTCCATGATCACAAGTCCCCAGCTGAGTCCGATCCCTGCAGCCTCTGCAACGGACAGTCAACCGTTTGCTGTCGATCAGCAGGGCTGGAGTGTCTAGCAGGCTACGAGAAGACTGCGGCGAGTGATTGCGGCTCGAGCAGTAGCCCTCAGCAAGTGTGTCTTGTCTGAATGAACATATGTAATGTATCTTCCCCGAGTCAGTCCGGACTCCAGTGGGCGAGCGTCGCTCTACCGTCTACTACTATGATTATCGGAGGCTGACCGGGCCGCAGTGCCAGAACTAGTACGACTCTGTGTAACTGTATGAGGGGCTCCCATGGGTCAGTCACCCGGCTGTGATAACGGCTAGCTACTTTTTCAGGCGACTGAAGGACCCCCCTTATCCTACCTCCTCACGACTCGCCTACACCGGTCATAGGACCACTCCGTAGGGGCGTTCCTCTGACTCAGGAGGTAACCCGGGCCGAGTGAGCAGTGCCGTACGAATGACCACCCGACTAAACCCCCGGCCCCATACTAGTGACCACCCCATTGCGAATGACCACCCCACATCAATGACCACCCCAACCGATACTATTGACCACCCCAACCATTATGAATGACCACCCCAATACGAATGACCACCCCAATACGAATGACCAGTTTAGGTCAATACCTGCTCCCCTCTTCCTCCGGCGGCCCTGCGGCTCTAATTCAACCGAACCCCCACCCCCTCATCTCCCTGCCCGCCCTCATCAAAAAAGGGTCATGCACTCTGAGCGAAGAGGCGTAGCAGTAGTGACCAATTTTTTTTATATCGAATTTACCGAAAACTTTCCTTTTCACGATAGACCGGACCTACTGCGCCTGTAACGGAGGGGACCAGTGGTACAATTTCTTTGAGTAGAAGGGGTGGTGCCGAATCCTCCTTTGGTCGTAGGGACTAGACGTAGTTGCCACCCCCACCCACTTGTCCATCCTCGGCCACCCTACCTACTCAATGTAGGGAAACCCACCCCTACCCCAACAATTTAGTCCTATTCACCCTACCATTCCTATCTCAAAGACATACCCTACCCTCCTCTTGGGTGCCTGCCTGGCCCATTCCTCGCTCCCTTCACTGTCCCTCCAGTCACTCCCTGCTACGATATCAAGACATCTCGGTATTCGGCGGATCTTTCGAGCACTACGAGCTTCGCGCGTCTGCTTCTCTGCTCGAAGTATGACCACCATATCCACGAGGTTGATTTCCTTTATACAGTATTCTATCGAGCTGACCCTCCTTTGCTAGGTCCCTCACCACCGCACGTGGTTTCCTGCCTTACCTGGTGCTGTTTCTTTCCGTATCAGCATGTGCTGCCACCATGGTCGACAGTCCCGAGATCGGCATCCCCTACCTGTACAAGGGTCTCATCACCTGGGCCTTCTTCTGGGCTTTCCTTGACGCCTTCACCATCGGGGCCAACGATATTGCCAACGCCTTCGCTAACGCTGTTGGAGCCAAGACCATCTCCTTCAGGACAGCTGTCCTAATCGCGTGCGTCTGCGAGCTTGTTGGTGTGATTGCTCTGGGCAGCACTGTGACCGATGCTGTGCGCAACAAGATGGTCAAGGTAGACTGGTTCAAGCATGATCCTTACATCCTTTCCCTGGGCATGAGCTGCGTCAACCTTGGCTCTGGTGGATGGGTGTTTGTCGCCACCACGCTGTCTATGCCTGTCTCCACTACTCACTCGGTTGTTGGCGCCATCCTTGGTATCGGTGTTGCAAGCTGGGGTGCTTCTGGAGTGAACTGGGGCTATGACGGAGGGTTTGGTGGAATTGTTGCATCCTGGTTCATCTCACCCGTCCTCTCTGGAGTGTTGTCTGCGATCTTCTACCTCAGCACCAAGTTCCTCGTGCTCAAGCATCCCGACGATGTCGCCGTCAAGCGCGGCATTGCGCTCCTTCCCGTCTACTTCTTCTTCGCCTTTGGCGTCGTGGCCGGCTTCATGGTCATGAAGGGAATCCCTGCATTGAAGAATACACCTTACGAAATTACTGTGCCCGTCACGTTTGGAATTGCTATCTTCTTTGGCATCGTCGGTTACATTTTTTGCGTGCCATGGACTCGTCGTGCTATTGTGGACAACGAGAACCTGCCATGGTACACGCTTTTCTACATCTTCGCTATTCCAGTTGGCTCCAGAGGTTACAACGAGGAGAATAACGTGCAAGATCAGAACAAAGTCGATCTCGTTGAGACTGGAAACTTTAATCAGAACATGCCACAGCCTTCCATGTACTTCAACCAGGCTCCAATGATGCCTGGTCAAGCCCCCATGATGGTTCAGGGTTCTTACTTTGGAAAGGATGAAATCGAGGACAAGCCACAGAGCGACGGCATCACCACCACTGTTCTCAAGACTCTCTTCCCTGGATTCTACATGGACGTCGGAGGCCTCAAGGAGGAGGATGCTGCCATGCACGCCAAGGCCTTCCAGGCTTACTCCAAGACAGAGGAGATGTTCAAGATCCTCCAGCTCACCACCTGCTGCTTCTTCTCCATCGCCCACGGCGCCAACGATGTGGCCAACGCCATCGCTCCCTTCGCTACTGTCTGGATGGTCTACAGCACCGGCACGGTTTCAAGCAAGGCGGAGGTTCCCATCTGGCTTCTGGTCTACGGAGGTCTCGCGATCGATCTCGGTTTGTTGAGCATGGGCTACTACATCATGGACGCTCTTGGCAACCGCCTGACCCTTCAGTCTCCTTCCCGCGGCTTCTGTATCGAGCTGGGAGCTATGTTCACTGTGATGACCTTCTCTCGTCTCGGAGTTCCTGTCTCCACCACTCACTGCATCTCCGGTGCCACCACTGCTGTCGGACTTTGCAACGGAGACGTCGGAGCTGTCAACTGGAAGCTCATCGGCATCATCTTCGGCGGATGGATCCTCACTTGCCCATGTGCCGGCATTGTGACTGGTCTGCTCTACTGGGCTGTCGCCGCTGCTCCATCGCCCGTGGCAGGCAACGGATTCTTCACTGGTTATCACGGTTAAGAAGACCAGCGTCTATTTCTGCTGGTGCCGTTTCAAACCTTGGAAACTGTTTTTTGAAAATTTTTGTTTTTTGAAAATTTTTGTTTTGTGATGTTTTTTTGAAAACTTTTGTTTTTTTCCAGAGTTTTTGTTTTTTGTTTTTTCAATACATGTCGTAAATTCCAACTTCAAGCGTGTTTTGAATGATTAAGACATTTGTCTGAGGAAGTTCTATGCCGAACTGATCCCTTGGCGTATTAGACAGGTAGATACGGGAGACAATCTCACAATATGTAGTTTATCTATCTGAAGCTCTGTTGACTAGCACACATCGCGTCAGTGCGTGTTCTACCCGAAAAAGAATTACTCATAATGTGCGACAGTGTCAGGGTCAAGCCTCCTCGACTCTCCTGATTGTCCTCGTACTGGTCTTTAACTCATAACGCATGTGTAAAGGACCCTGAAAGTTCATAATAGTTGTCAGGAGAATCACGAGGTAGCCAACATCTTGATTTCGCACAGGCTTCAACCTCATGGTCTTCTTTTCTCTTTCGAACTGCGATGCCTTCTCGAACCAACGAACATGGTTAGACTCGACGACCATGTTTGAAATGCTTTGACTCAACGTTGGGAGTCTCAAGTCAAGACGAGAGAGACTAGTGATCTCCGACGAGAAAAACATTCATCGAAGATCCAAAGGGCAATGGGATGCCGAGAGTCTCGGCATTGGCCTAAATCCAGGATGAAGATGGGATGTCGGAGGTCAAACTAATTTTACGTATGGTGATTTCAAACTCGCACTCTCATGAGCCTTTCGAGCTCTTCAGCCCAACGATCTGATGGTAGGTCTCATTGCCCCGTCTCCCATCTCTTATGAAGTAACCCTCGCGCACGAACTGCATGGGACCCTCAATCTTGTCAGTCCCTCTCTCCACCATGGCCCGGGGAAACTGAAAGTTTCTCAGCTGTAAAACAAGACCCTCGCTCATCTCACCTCCACGACCGATTGATCGTTGAAGGACTTGAGCCAGTCGTCCCCCCCCGCCTGCCCCTCGTCTCCCTCTGCAATCGCCATTGTCACTCAAGCTTTAGTTCAGAGCAACGCGCAGACCTTCGAGGAGAGCGGGAGAGCCAAGGTTACTTTCGTCCTGTAGGAGGAGAGGGCCAAAGCTGCGGACCAAGACTCTCGCGGCTGCCTCCTCTCGACCATCCAGCCAGTGCAGATGGCCCTTAGGCTTCGGTTGCCCCTGCCGCAAATCGACCCGACCTGCCATAGCGGAGGTCAACCGCACTCTGACGAGGTTTGAGAGGGCACCTGACAGCCTGCAGACTTGGTTGGTGTCGTCCTTGACAACCTGCAAGAGGCTTTAAAAGCTTAACATCCAGCCGCCTAGTCTCACCTCCTCACACGTGAAGATGAACGGCGAGCCGATGAGGCCGACAGACCGCCCGACCGTCAACCCAAAGAAATCCGCAGCTGGCTGGAAAGAAATCTGGTGGGAAGGAGGAGAGAGGCGTAGAGTAGAGACCTCCTCTTGGAAATCGTTGCTATCGATGAAGATGCAGTCAGACATACTGATCTCTCGCCCTCCCAGAGAAGCATTCTGCGAACGACTGGGCTCAGCAGATGAAGGGAGAGAATGAAGTCCAGGCTGACCTTAGGGAACCACTGGTGAAAGTAGTAGCAGGAGGAGCCTTCCAGGCGGCAGGAAGCCTCTTCTACTGTGCGAGCTGTCTCCATGAAGTTCTTGATGAAGACTTGGAGAGGCCGGAGCACCGCAAACACTCTACAGGTGAAACAGTGACTTCCCTGCCCAGCCGGACCTCAGTCAGGATTCACTGGATCACCTTGGAGCAACGAGGTCGAAGTGCTCTCGCGCGATCGCCTGCTCCTCGGTCAATGCGCCGGAAAGCCTTCCAGTCCCACCTCAAGCATGTGTGGCTGCGTGACGACATTCTGGGAGACGGAGACACCGAGCTGGAGGGGAGTGTGAGATCTCAGTTGTCAGCTCTCGACCTGCTGACTTTCCTGTTCGCAGAAACGATTCACCACCTCAGGAGGATAGCCTGTGCAGGTGATGAGTCAGCCATCCGCTCAGCTGATCTCTCCAGCTCGTATCAACCTCTTCTTCGCAGACCACTGAGAGTGAGCAGCCGGGGGTCGTCCCATCCGTCCACTAAGCCGCTACTTCACAGGGCTTCACGCAGGGCAGAATGGAAGTTCAAGGTTTGCTCACTGAACAAGTCTCTGCAACTTTCTCTTCGAGAGCACGTTGTTGGCCATGGAGCAGCGCTGCAGCCGTTGAATGAGGTGGGGATGCGCTTCTGAACAAGGAGGGAACCGAATATTCGAACGTGACGGGCTTGTACATCCCAAGGACGTGCAACAGCCAGTAGTAAGGTCCATCAGCTGCCTGCAGGACGAAGGCGAGGATAGTGAGACGAAACTTGCTCTGAAGCTGCAAGGCAGAACCTGACGCGAGGAGAATTCCGTCGTGCAACACGAATGAGTGATCCCCTCGATCGAGTCCACTGCCACATGGCGACCCTCAGTACGATGGCCGTTGATCCTCTGCCTTCTTGGGCACTTACCGATGCAGTGTGACATATCATATGATGGGTAGATACACCACTGCAAACCTCATCAGTCCCCAAAGACATCCAGCTCGGGCGTCTCTCACGTCAGATCCAGTCCTGGGATGAGGGGGGTCGAACTTGATTCTGTAAAGGACCGGATCCCACATCGCAGGGTTGTCACAGCTTCATCATGGTTGTCAGCTGGACTCATGGGCAGCAAGAAAACAGTCTCACTCAAAGTTTCCCTTCATCCGCAAGACGGCTTCTCCCTCCCTGAAGCAGCAAAGAATGAACCCATCGGGAGGGCTCAGTCCAGGAACCTACTTGTAGTCTCCTGCTCGCATCTTCTCGAACTTCTCCAGGTTGATCTTGACTTCCGTGTCTCGCCATGGTGACAATGCCTGGACCCGACAATCAGCAACAAACTCAGAAAGGTCTCTCTATGACCTCGGCCGGGACTGTCAAGTTCTTCAATCTGCATGTTCCAAGTCATGAATGATCGTGGACTGCAGTTTGTAGATACCTCGCTTCCCTGTTCGCACTGCGACATTTCCTCATTTCTTCGAAATTCTTGAAAGCATCTTCAGCACAGCAAACATCAGTACTTGTTTCAACCTGATGGCAAACGTATGCATTTCCATCTTGAATCAGTTTTACTGCACAATCATAAAGCTTCTTGGGTGTCAAACTCGGCTTTACAAGTGCAGTACGACCTGCTGAAAATAGTCGCTGGTATAAGTGACCTTGACAGGGACATGTCCCAACCACTTGACTGATGGGCGAGTTCAGTGAGGAGATGAAGAAAGGAGCATCATGCAGCTACCCGAATCGAAGATACCATCGATGTACTCTTGCTCTTCCGCTTTGCAACAAAACATTCAGCCAATGCAATGAGAAAAAGTCAGAAAAAAAGCAAATCATCCTGTTCACCAGCAGGGTTCGTGTCATCAAATCGAAGTATGGTCTCTGCCTGGTTGCCTTGGCTGCGTGCGATGGCTGCTTGTCCGAAGTTGAACAGCATAGCCTTGGCATGACCGATATGGAGGTACCCGTTAGGCTCTGGTGGAAATCGTGTCCTGTAGCCGGACCCGAAGGTGTCAAGAAAATCCTTCAGTTGATCCTCCGAATTCCTTGCAAAGTTTCGGGTCTGATTCACTCCTGCTCGCAGCGGCTTCGCTTGCAAGTTCACGCTAGGGTCTCTTAGGATCAGCCTCCTTGCTGCCCCTCCTTGCACCTGATTGTCCAAGGGGCCTGTGCCCCTGCTCCCCCGCCCCTTCATCTTCACCTTAGGCTCACCGGCTCCGTGCACTACGGTTGTAGTTGAACAGAAGAGCAAGGCCGAGACAGTGTACAGCATCATACTTTTGATCACACGACCTCTGAGGTTCATCATGGTCGAAGAGAGTGTTATACCACAAGGCAAGTCCTGCTAGACTCCCTCGTTTCCTTCAACAAAACCTTCCTCAGTCTTGAGCTGTCGATCTACAGGGCGCACTCCCAACTTCCCCACAGGTAACCCGCATGTGCCTTCCCTGCCATTGTATCCTTTGATCCTCTCCTCTCCTCTCCTCTCCTCTCTCCTCTCTCCTCTCTCCTCTCTCCTCTCTCCTCTCTCCTCTCTCCTCTCTCCTCTCTCCTCTCTCCTCTCTCCTCTCTCCTCTCTCCTCTCTCCTCTCTCCTCTCTCCTCTCTCTTCTCTCCTCTCATCTACGTCATCTATCCTTCTCTCTCTCCTCTGTCCTCTCCTCCATTCCCCGCTCTCTGTGCATGGCAATGCGTCTACACACCCTTGTGTGAGCCCTCATATAAAAATCATCACCCTCATACTCATCATACAAAACAGTCCTAAATGGGGTAGGGGTGAAGAATCTTCCCTGAAGGGGTGGGGTATATGAGTATACCCCTTGTTTGAAAGGAAATCTTTGGACAAAGGATGTGGTAGGGTACTTTTCGAAAGGCGAGCAATGGGGGGGTGGGGAAGGAAGGGGATGGCGTCTTGCGATGTCAGAGAGATGTTGGGGAGGAAGTGCCGAGCAGGAGCAGAAGGAGAGGAGAGGAGAGGAGAGGAGAGGAGAGGAGAGGAGAGGAGAGGAGAGGAGAGGAGAGGAGAGGAGAGGAGAGGAGAGGAGAGGAGAGGAGAGGAGAGGAGAGGAGAGGAGAGGAGAGGAGAGGAGAGGAGAGGAGAGGAGAGGAGAGGAGAGGAGAGAAAAGGAGATGAAAGGTGAGCGAGATGACAGATTGGATACGATGGTATTGAAATGTCGGGGGGGAGGAGAGGAGAGGAGAGGAGAGGAAGTACAGTAGAACGAGCGAGTGGGGTGGAGAAGGAACGGATACGCGACACGAGGGACGAAACGAAACGAGGCGAGAGGAGTTGAAAGGTGATCTTGGTAAGGAGGCACTAGGGGATATCATAGCAGTTATGACACTCAGGAGAAGGGAAGGAACAAGATCCGGCGAATTCCAGACACGCAATAAGATGAAAAATAGAACGAGAAATGCAGGAAAGCTTCAAGCCAGCAGGTAGTGTTGAAGCTGGGGAATGCATCGGAGCAGACCGGATTGGGGAGGGAAGGAGGAGTTTGATCATCGTGAATGGAAATGAGGAGGAAATGAAGGGGGGAAACATGATAGGAGAAGGAAGATGAACGTTGGGTATTTGATTGCGAGATCAGGACAAGGAGGAACGAAGACTGAGTGACGTCTCCCCGTCCAGATGTCAACGATCTTTGGCTCGGCTCTTTGAAGTTCGAACGTACCGCAGCCTTGAAACCATCTCAATGAAAATGATCCATCCGATTGCTTTGCTTTTGCTCTTGCTCGCCTCCGTGCAGCTCTGGTGGGTGGCGAATTTTTCGTCATCAGCCTCAGTTTGTTCTCTGACTAACTTGTTGGCAGCTGTGGAGGGTCCTTCGACCACTCACCTAGCAAGACTGTCCAACGGATGTGAGATTCAATCTGATCGATCCCCGCATCTTTCAACCGTGACCTTGCTGTTTGCTAGGATGATGTTGAGGAACTCTGTGGGAAGAGACGTGTCGTCCGTGCAGCAGAAGACCATTCTTGGTCAAAGTCCCATCGCCTCCAGCTCGGCAGTTTTAGCGAACTTCGATACTTCGAAGGTTCGATCCCCATGAGCATGCGGATGACCAAGCTGAGACGTTTCGAGCAGGCGGCTGCTCTCAAGCGCATCGCAGCCAAGCATGGTGTCGTAAGCGAAAAGAGGCTCGCGGTCGCAAGCCCAGAAGGGCCCTCGGACGATGACGCGTCAGGTTCGCCTGTGCTTTGACGTTACAGGAAATGAGAAGCCTGCTTACCGTTGCGATCAGGTGCGATGCCGCCGAAGCCCCTGGACGCACAAATTCACAAGTCATCGCACTGGCTAGCTCAAGTGATTGGCGGCTTCCACCTCATGTGATCACGTGACCCATTAAACAGGCTGTAATGGTCCTCGCTATCCTCGCGGGCTCGACTATCCTGGGAGGAATCATCGGCGTGATCTACTGCTGGAACAATCGGGTGCCGGGCGATTCTGCGGATAAGGTGCAAACTTCAAGTCACGATACCCTTACCGCTATTTCTCGACGCGAGATTTCCTTTCTTTTGCTCAACTGCTCTTCTCTTACCCCACCTTTCCATCGGTCGATTCTGTTTTCACATGTTTTAACCTCCCAGGGGAAACTGCCCACTAAAGAGGAGCGACTCAACGGGAAGAACTATGGCCGAGCGACACCTCAGTATGGCTCTTACGGTACAGCAGCGCCTGCTGGTTCATGCCATTGACAGACTGCAGGTGTCAAGGGACGCCGATGATAGGGGGAAGCGAAGCAGAGTGTGGAGCGAGGGAGAAGAGGGGTTATTCAAGACTCTTGAGGTCTAACTTTTGGGCTCATGAAGAGCGTTGGACATGAAGGATTCAATTGGATGTCAAGGAATGGTATAGGCCTGCAGTATGATGAGAGAACTGTCAACAATGCAAGAGAACAAGGCAATGGAAGAGCTCTGATGGCTGATTCCTATTTCCTGCTCGACGTATGGTTTCATGAATTTAATGCCACATCATCTTGGCAAGAGCATCAATTCGACCATCTTCTCCCTTACAACTCCCGCCAGGGTGTGCAGATTCCCATCTCTACATCCTGAGTTCCCCTACTGCCGCGCTAGGTTGTGCCATTCCTGCGCACAGGAACACATAGCTTGGATGCCACTACCGCATGATCTGAAGGGAAGTCGAGTGTTGGAAACACCATCTCCTGCAGGCAAGTAAGGGAATAGTCTTAAAAGCTGCAGCAAACTCACCTCCACATACTTCCCACACCCCGTGTTGTCCTTCGTAGCTGGTTCTGCCTTTAGTTGAGATTGGTAGAACACGATCCAATCCTGCGGAATCGATAAGCGAAGAAGCGTGAACAACACGGGTGGCAACCTTAAGATTCTTGTCTGCCTTGGCAATTTTGTCCTTCTTCACATTCGTGTTAGTGGCTTGCTAGATCAGGATGAAATTGTTCATACTTGACCGATCGCCTTGTTCAGTTGGGGCTGCAGGTAAGTTCTGGCGTTGCACCTGCGTGCCTGTCAATTGAGACCCATACAAAACAAGCAGGTAGCTCACGTTGTGGGGTTCACAGGATTTGGAGGGGTTCCCCAGCAAGAAGCCATACCCATTGAAGCGATCACGTCGTAAAAATGCGAGACACCCTGGAGAGCAGTTAGCTCCTTCATATCCATCTCAAAGGCTATCATCACCTGATACGTAGCACTATGCTCACGATACCTGCATATGTAGTCAGATCCGAAAGAATCCTTTCAATCATTCACGTGTTAGCATCTAGCCCAAACACGAGTGCATGATCAGAGTATGTGCTGCTTGCAACAGCGTGCACTGCTCGGACGACCTGATATTACACAACGTGAGAAGCAAACGCCTTAGGCAAACCAGAATTCACCGGTAAAGTTGCAAGTCCGTTTGTATCGCCATGGAACGAAACAAGCAGGTATCTAGTGTGATTGTCAACAGGGAAAAATAATTTTTCTTAACTCACTTGCAGAGGTCTTTGCTCTGTATTGTATACGCCACAAGGTCGCCATCAGAGCACTGTTTGCGATATTAGTCGAACAGAAAGCAACTGCATCGAATGGCACGACAAATCAACCTGCCAGTCTTCCACAGCTGCTAAAATTTCGTTTGTGACCTGGATTGAGGATTAGACTTTCGAAAAAAAATATTTAGACATACATCCCGCGCTGAAGTGAGATCGAAGAGATCCTTTTTTACCATAATTATACTGTTCTGATCTCTTTTCCCATCCATCTGGAATTAACCACACATTGGTCATAACTCGATTTTTGCGCAAGCCTCGGTTTCACATACCTTGGCTGGCTTAAACACAATGAAATCATCGCACAGCGAACCAGCTTCGACCTTCTTGACAAAGGAAGCAGCAACCTGCGATAGGACCAACAGAATTTAGAGAATAAAGGGCCAGCGAATAACGAAAGGAAACCTCTTGCAAGAATACGAATGCTGCATCTTTGTACGTCCTTGATAGAATCTCAATAATCTGCCTATCCTTCCCTTTATACAACGCATCGGAGAGAGATTTTCTGAAGAAAGTGCAAGAACATACAGATTCAGCAATCAAACGCGTTGTACGATTGACTCAAAAGTACCTCAACGTTTGCCACTTCTGAGGAGCTACACAGTCCAACATATGAATAATGATGGCATCGAAAATGGCAAGGCAAAGAGTTTGAAGAGGAATACAGATCAGTTCCTCCTCCTCTGTAATGGCTGGATATTTGCACTTCAGGATTGGTTCCAACATTTGAAAAACTAGACATGGGTATCCTTCCGGACGCTTTTTTGCATTGTGGACCAAGATTTGAGTATCAAAAATAAATTTCTGCCACAAGCCCCACCAAGCAGACTTGTTTTCAAAGTTCCCATCATAACAATTGATTGCTGTTGGTCTGTAGAATACCGTACCATCAGCTGCATGAATCGTGTTGGTTACTCGATCGGGCATGGAAATCAACCTCTTGCTTCCGATCGATCTTTCTTTCAAGAAACCACTGATAATCTTTCGGCTTCTGTACTCCGACACCCATGTATCTCTGAGCTTGTCAAGTCCACTGCACTTCATTCTATCCAGGTGCTGAACAAGCTCATCAAACATCTCGTCTGTCAAAACCTCATGTATGGGACAATCCCTACTGCCTGGCTCATCAATGAAGTCTTGCACATCAACCATCATCTTATTGTATGCCGGATCATTGTGGGTAACCCAATACTCAAATGGGTTGTTGTTGACTGCAGCAATATTCCACGTAGCTGCAAGCCAAGTCTTCGTTTCGCATTCTTGGTGTCTGTGAGAGGGGCTCATGTCTACCACAGCAACCTCACTCGTAGCATGTGAGGTCATCAAAGCTCCATTGAAGCCATTCTCAAGATGAGGCAGCGATGTCCGAGGATGAAACAAGGAAGACTTTTCGAAGGCAGGAGTGACGCACTGGATTCCACCTGCTGCATTCAGTTACTTTCGGATTCAGCTCACGCAGCGTCACGCTGTCCTTGCATCTCAAAGAACTATCGCTCAGAACGCTACCGACATCGTATCTTGAACTCGTACCTACAACTTCTGCATGCAATGCAATTTTCCTTCTCGATCTAAATCCCCATGCCAGCACGCACATGCAGCTGACATGACCCCTTCTAGTCAGTCCTAGCTTCCAAATTCTGGTCGACTAGCTCCTCCTCGTACCAGATTTGCTTTCTGCACATCAGCAACTTTCTCCTCCCTGCTCTCCTCCCTTCCAATGCGTTCTCCCGCTTTGCATGGAGCGCCGCTTCTACCGCCTCCTCCACCGTTTGGCTGCATGAAGCCCTACGCCGCGGCTGCTCCCAGTTGCCACTACCCACCCCCCTTTCACCTTCACCCCCGAGACCACACACACACCCTACCCCAGGGTCGCCAAACCCCACGAAAGGCAAACCACACCCCAAATCTGAAAGCCGTGACCCCTGTTTTCCACCAACATTACCCCACCTCACTCCGAACTTACCACACTCGAACAGAAACCCCCATTTGTACCGCTACCCCTACCCCTTCATTCCTATATTGTACCCCTTTCTGAACCCTTTTTACCACCTACCCTTCAGCAGTATGGTCTGCCTACCCAAGGTTTAAAATCCTCACGGACCCTAGAGCAAGTGTATCACCCACCCCTGCAGTGACGGAAGACCCCACCTGCCTTCAAAATGGACCAGTACCCACCCACTTCCTGTTATTGGACCGCAAAGGAAGGAATTCAGGGGTGGTCAACTTTATTTGTGGGAAACGGCCAGAGACAGCACCGGTAGGGGTACCAGTATCCAGGGGTACGGGTCCCAATGGGGTGCTCCGGTACCCCATGTTTCATATTCTAAATGCCTGCAGGTCTGGTGCTTAGCAAGGGTACCAATATACCCCCACCCCCTTGCTGCATACCCCCACCTATAAATCTGGACCACCAGGGTTTTTATCACCCTTGGGTGCTGGGTGTTAGTCTCATACATATATATAATTACAAAACGATTTAAAGAATTTTTTTGCTGTGTGGTACTGGTGGTAAACTACACTTCGGTGGTAAAGTCGTTATATCACCCTACCCTGTACTTTAGGAGAGTCACAAGGGGGAATGCACCGGTAATCTGTCAAGTTGCCATGACTGATCGTTCGCCTTGTACCCCCACCGACTGGTATCGTACCCCCACCCTTGGATTAGTACCCCCACCTCAGCATACATCCCCGCCATGAAACTGATAAGGAATCACCCAACTTGGGTAATTGACCCCTACCCTGTGTATCCATCTCAAGACCAGGGAGCCCCAACTTAATACTGAGCTATCCCCAGAACCCCACCCCTTGAATCGAATGAATCTTCTTTGCCACGCATACACCCCTCCAAAATATCTTTCACAGTTCACACCCTATATACAACCTACCCCACCCCGAACTCGAAATCTTATCGACGTTAAGACGGTTACACTCTGGTCAAAGTGTGTGTGGTAAAGCTCTCGATCAAACCAATGCACGAAGTTTGAAGAAGTGTGACCGTTACAATCCGTTACTTTGCCGCAATGCGGCGATTCATTGAACGCTGAGGTGTCAACTGTGGATGTGAGTCGTGCACTAGAGTTACTCGTTTGTGTTGTCACTTAAAAAAGGATCACCGATACTTCAATTTTACGTAGTGTTCGTTTGGAGAATCAAAATCAAATGAGTGTTTGCGTTTCTTGAGCTGCTCCACTTGAGACGTTCCGGCAGACACATCTTCAAAACCCACTCCACTCATCACCTTGCTGATCAGCTCCAGCCCCTGCTCTCTCCAGGCAAAGCACACGTGCTTCAATATTATGCACGTACAAATTCTCTTTCTGCCCACTTTCTCCATTACTTCTCATGCTTTCGCTGTACTTTGAAAATACTAATCCACTGTTTCCTACACTGAACCTTTAGTAAAAAGAGTTCACTTCGTCAGGTACATGCTAGCCGGAGTTCAATCTCTGAAGCCATCCCAAACCTTAACACATGCACAGATCTCCCCTTTCTCCTTCAAGAAATAATTTTGCAACATCTCTTGCTTTGCTCCCCAGACTTTTTTCCGCCCTTTCGACTCCCGCTTCACCTCATCCCTCATCCCTGGACCATCAGTCTCTCCTATTGTCCCGTGTCCTGCCCTGCCCTGCCCTGCCCTGCCCTGCCCTGCCCTGCCCTGCCCTGCCCTGCCCTGCCCTGCCCTGCCCTGCCCTGCCCTGCCCTGCCCTGCCCTGCCCTGCCCTGCCCTGCCCTGCCCTGCCCTGCCCTGCCCTGCCCTGCCCTGCCCTGCCCTGCCCTGCCCTGCCCTGCCCTGCCCTGCCCTGCCCTGCCCTGCCCTGCCCTCTTCATTGATCCTTCATCTTACGGCTCATCAGTCCATTTTTCTATGTCCTTCACCACCCCACCTAGCTACATTATTTCTTGCCCCATACACTACCCTACCCCATTAATTTCGTCTCCCTGATACCCACCCTTAATGCTTATAACCCTACCCCTGGGTAGGGTGAACCAAACAATCCTACCACCCCCTAACTTACGCTAAGAATCTATAAACATAACCCTCCCCATGTGCGTCATGAAGACCAGTACCCCCACCTTCATTCACTTGTTCCGAACTTTGTAACCACGGGTAGTATGTAGCAACTCGACGTACCCCACCACATCGGTTGCCCGACAGTACCCCCCATGGCTATCTACCATCCGACTGCGCTACAGTACTATGGCGCTCAAACATGCCGTGCGAGGCCTCGCGTGGGTGGCTGGAGGCGCCGTGGTGGTCTCGACGTCCTCGCATCCTGCGATAGGTGAGAAGTAGAAAGATGAGACGGGGAGACGGGGGAAGGGGGAAGGGAGTGAGAGAGGATTGACCTACCGTGATGCAAATCTGAGGAGAGGAAGATAGATTTAGGATGAGCTGAGGGCGGGAATGGGGGGAGATGAGGACCAAGATGATCATGATCACGATCAAAATACATGAAAAGGGACTCAGGATGATAGACACACGAGGATGCGAAAGTTTTGCGAAAGACTGAGGCAGCCTTGTGGGCGTTGCGGCTGTTGCAACTTCACCTATTGATCCTTTGATATCAAAAACGTCTGCCGTTGGTTTCTTGCGCTGACGAGATCTCGCTATGAATGTTTCTTGCCGTGGAGAGATCTTGTGGGTATAGATCGTGTTGAGTACTTAGAATGTTCATTATCAAGGATTCAAAGTACCTGTCATGTTCGTGTTTGTGACTTTTCAAACCCGGTGAAGCCATGATCGTATCTCATATTCTAACATATTTGCTTTTGAAGGAGAGGTGAAATGCAGGTTTGGAACGGAAATGTACAAGAAATTCATGTGCAGGAGTTTGTCCCTCGTGCCATATCACTGATTCTGTTGGTCCAGGTGGCCCATCCTGGCTCTACAGGATCCAGAGAGCTCCCACGAGCTCTCGGTGTGGATGGCAAAGAACGGCCTCACACCCATCGATCGAGTGGCTGAGAATCCTGCACTCAAGGTCAACGTGTTCGGAAAGGAGTTCAGTGAGATCTTGGGGGAGGAGCAACGAAGTTCAGTCACCAACATCGCAGGAAATCCCCTCGGACTCGCTGCTGGATGCGACAAGCATGGCGAGGCGGTGATAAAGTTTGAGAGGAGTTGCGGTCTGGTGATCATTCGAACCAGGTGAAAGGGTTCATGAACATGGGCTTCGGTTTCGTTGAGGTTGGAAGTGTCACCCCCCAGCCACAGGTCAGGCTCGTCCTTCTCCACCCCTTCGCCTGCGTTCGTGACGCGGATGTCTCAGCCTGGGAACGACAAGCCGCGCATGTTCCGTCTCACTGAGGTGCTGAAGCTGAACTGCTCCCCTGCTCGCTCATGGATGTTGTCAGGACCAAGGAGTGATCAATCGATACGGATTTAACAGCCACGGAGCAGAGGAAGTTTTTGAGAGGCTCAAGGTAAGAAAATCGGCGAGGAAGGTCGAAGATGATCTCGCTGAATGGCCCTCAGGCAATCAGAGAGTCAGGGCAGGAACTTCGTGGTAACCTTGCCATCAACCTCGGCAAGAACAAAACTGCGGTTGGGGATGGTGAAGCACACGCGAGCGAATGCTAAGCAAATGGCAGGATGCTATTCCCGACTACGTCTACGGAGTGAAAAAGGTGTCACACACTTTCTATAGAACACCCTTCTTCTTACTTGTATCTCTCAGTTCGGCGAGCTTGCTGACTTCCTCGTTGTCAACATCTCTTCTCCCAATACACCTGGTCTCCGACGTAAGTCAGACCAGCGGCGTGGCGAGGAAGAGCTGGCTGACGTTGCTGCTGCGGCATGCAGAGCTGCAATCCCGCAAGGAACTGGAAGGGTTGATCAGCGCAGTCATGAAAGTACGGAATGAGAGCTGCCCCAAGGTGTTGACAGATGCCTCTGTCACTCCATGTCGAATCGACCCTGACACCTCTCCGTCTTAGGTCCCCTTGCTGGTAAAGATCGCTCCTGACCTCACCGATACCGAGCTCAAGGAGATTTGCCAAGTGAGTCAGAGGTGTTGTTGCCTCCTGGCAAGCCAACTGTTGAGCAGGTGGCGACCAAGATGAAGGTGGATGGGATGGTTGTTACCAACACCACCATCTCGCGCCCAGAATCTTTGACCGGAGCCGCTAAGGAGGGTGAGAAGAGAAGCGCGGGTTGCTGCAGTCGTGACTGACCTCCCTGCTATGTGTGCGGCAGAGACGGGGGGGCTGAGCGGGCTTCCCCTCAAGGACATGTCGACTGAAGGTCAGCCGCTCTCCTGCCTCTTCTGGTCTCACACGCTCCCAGTGATCAGGAAGGTCTACAAGCTGACCGGCGGGAAGCTCCCTCTCGTAGCTCTGATGCCTTCACCCCTCCTCGTCTTCCTGACCTCCTGCTCGCAGATTGGAGTTGGTGGAGTGGGAACTGGGCAGGTCGTCGGTCTGCACGCGGTCGGGGAGGACATGACATGACTTGGCAGGATGTATACGACAAGATCAGAGCTGGCGCCTCCCTCGTTGAGATGTACTCGCGCCTAGGTGACGAGGGCGCCCGTTGGTTTCCTCGCTAATGAGCAACTTGGCAGCATACGAGGGACCATGGTCACCGCCCAAGATCAAGTTGGAGCTCAGCAGACTGCTCAAGGTACTGGAGTTCAGTAGGAGTCTTGCTGGATGTATCTAACGGTATGGAAAGGCGGATGGATTTGAGAACGTCGCCGATGCTATCGGGGCAGATGCAAAGAAGTGAAGGAGAGAAGGAGAGAGGAAGAAGGGGACGAAGAGGTTTGCTGTTGGGCTGACTTTCTTCCTCCGCTTATTATCAAAGAATATATCCAACATTTATCTCATCAGGCCTCTCTTTCTCCTTAATCCTCCCACTCCCTCTTCCTGTCGTCTTGATCTGCTCAGTGCTTTCTTCACTTGCGGTTTCCCTTCCCTGATGGTATTGGAGTCCCGCCTGCACTTCCAACGAGATTCGAGGCAGCAGCCTAGCGGGGTAGTGTGAGCAGCACTAGCACTGCTGAACAAGAACAAGCATGCAGAGGAAGGGGAGGAGCGGAGAGCGAGGAGTGGGAGACGAAGTCGTAAGCAGGAGCGAGCAAACGCAACCTGGCCGTCTTGGAGTCTCTGGGAAGGAGCAGTCTTGCGCTTCTTGAGGGGGCGCAGAAGATCCTAAAGAAGGATGAGCGAGCGATGCGGAGGAGACGGAGGGGCAGTAGGGGGACCTGCTTCTTGTCGAACAAACTTTCTCGATCCTTCTTCTTCTTGCTGACCTTTTTCTGAAAAAACGTGAGGGGGGACGAGGAGGAGTGGATGGAAGGGGAGGCGGGGGGGGGGTAGCAAGGAGACCTGCCAGTCCATCAAAGTGATGACATCGTTGCAGAGCTGGACGAAAGCCTGTGGGCGAGGATTAGGATCTCCTGCGCAATGTAGAGGAAAAAGAAGGCACGTCTGGATGAGGTATGGCACTTGTTGAATGAGGCAGCAGCGGGAGCAAGAACAGGA